ATTTGAATTTAAAATCAATTAAACAATCAAAATAAGAAAAACACTGCAGATAAATGACAAAATTTCTTACTGAGAAGACCACATAGAGGGTCTGAAAAATTCCATTGCAATTTAGGAAAATGCAAAACAAGATATTATAACTGTATTTATCACAGCAGATGTGATGAAACATCACACAGTTTGCCAATTATATTGTCACTTCTCAGACATATTCATAAAGAAACTATTATGCTTCTTAAGCTGGGAAGAATAGTTTAAAAGAATTGATCACGACTCTGAGAGTTTATCTTGAAGACAATTTACAGACAACATATAACTCCTTTATTCATACCTCATTGCCAATATCATTACTGCTTTAGCAAATGCATTTATAGCACTATTTATCACGTAAAATTGTCACTGGGTGATTTTCATTATGCTAGTGACTCTTTCTCTCCTTGCTTCTTAGGTCTTCCCAGCGAAGGCATGACAGAGAGACGCAAGGAAGAGACCTCTTTGGTCCACAGCGTAGGTCTTAAGGACCCCTCAGGACCCCTTATGTAAGAACAATTTAAAAACATTACAGCATTCATTTAAATATATAAATTGTACTAGCCGATTATTAGCAGTAATATTCCCGGTGTTAATGTTAATCAGCATTTAATTGTATGCAATCATATATTCCTTTCGAGCGAGGACATGAGGAAGCGTAAATAAGAGTAATAAAACGCACTCACCAAATCTGTATCCACTGAACTCATGGAACTAAATCAGAGTAGTTCTGTGATGTATGAGTTTGGCGTGCATCACTCACATGAGCGCTTTCCAAATATGAACCACCTGAGTACACACAGATGCTCACTGCGCATACTGAGCGGCTCTTGCGCACATTCAACAGACAGCTCATTAATGTACGAGCTCAACGGTATAAGGGAGTTGCCTACTCCCTTATACATGTGTATGTACGCAACATGTGTACATACACATGTACACACAGAGGCGACACACAGGTATTCATCATGCGGTGAGGAACTGGGGAAAGCCATCTGCTTCTGAACTTTGTGGTGTTCTGATAGATGAGATCCATTTTTTTATAGTGACCTCATAAATCTAACACATTTTCTGTTAATACTGCCACTTCAGCCTGAAGATGCTGCTGGCAGTGATTCATGTCTGTAGTACACATGTACCAAAAGCTATTAGCTGTATGTTTACATCGCTAATCCAATAATATAGCTAATAGGATAGCTGAGAGCACACACACAGGGCTCCAGAGTGCGACCAAAATTGTTAAGAGTGCGACTAATCATTTTTCTAGGTCGCACTGGTGCACCTGCCGCTGCCCGGGTGAAAACATAACAGTTTATTTCGCAAGCGCATCATCTCTCTGTTCTCTCCTGTGACTGAACTCACACACTCATGGTAGGATCATATCGTGTTCTAAACCAATAAGAGACAGAGCTCTGGCGGGTCTTTGCCTCTGATTGGCTGTGGTCCTGTTCACCGCGCTAAGTTGCGTGTGTTTAAAAATTACGCGCGACCTGAGCGTGAGAGTAGCTGATTAACTGAAACGGAAAAATAAAATAAACGCAACAAAACGAGGGAAAATGAAGAGAGGCAGAAATATTGAACGTTTTTTTATTAAGAAATCCAAACCTACAACCAGCCCTACTACTATAATCCCATCCATCCCCACTACTGAGAGTCCATCCAGTTAAGACACGGAGCCATCGGTCCCTGGTGAGATACCAAGCCCCGGTCCTTCGGTGACAGCATCAGACTCGGAACCAGAGGAGGAGACAACTGAGGCTGGGATAGAGCCCGGACTGCATCCGGCTCCGAGAAACAAATTAAAAAGGCAAAAATATATTCCTTCAGACAGGACTGGCTGAAACAATTTCCCTGGCTGTGGTACAACAGAGGACGTAACGTAATGCACTGCGTGTACAGTCAGGAGTGTGGTCAGAATATGGCCGGAAATAGTGCGTTCATGAGCGGGTCAACAACGTTTTGTATCGAAACTTTAAAAAACATAACATGTCTAAAAAACACACGATATGCCGTGTTGTGTGTCTCCCAGCTGCATTTTTAGCGGCAGGTAGTGGTAATCATTATTATTATCATTAATAATTATTTTACTTGAAATGTTTGAGTTTGAAATGTTCAATTTCAGTTCAGTGAAGCACTTTAAACACTTTCTTTTTCTTTTCCTATATAATTGTGCTTCAAATAAAGACAAGCATTTCTCTACACCTTGTTCTTGTTTTAAAATCATTCACATTATATGAAAGTTATGGAGAGCAGTAAAAAGGTGACCTTATGGCGTTAAAGGCAACGCAGTGAAAAATTTGAAAAAAAAAAGTTTTGAGCACCAGTGCAACCAATGCAAAAAGTTAGTCTGGAGCCCTGACACAGGAGGAACAGGACATGGTGAAGACTGAAGTCCACTGACTGAGAAATCAGCCTCTGAATCCATGTTGATCAGTGCCCACAGGAATGGCTGTGTCCATTCACTCAATGTATGCACAGTTCCCTTCCCTAACAGTCGACTGACTCAACAGTGACACCACTGCCCCCTACTGCCAAACACCTCTGCATGCCACTGGCTATACAGGAACCTCACAGCTAATTATAAGTGACTCATAGTTGTTACCCAATGTGCAGACAGACAGTAATATGTTTGGGTTTTAACTCTCTGCCAACAGGAGATGAAAACATAATTGCATTAATAAAACAGACAAAAAAAAAAAAAAGTTAACTGATGAACAAAAAGAGCAGAAAATGAGAGGCAGGAACCAATAGATGTTTGGCATTTTTGATTGATTAATTAATCCTTAATTAAATAATGAATAATTGTGTTGATCCACCAGTGACTAACAATTCATCAATTGGCTAATCATTTTACATATCATTTTATAATTGGTCTTGTTTAAATATCTTTTCAGAACACCAAAAATTGTGATGTTTGATTTCCTCACTATTGCTCATCCCATGTCACAATACAGTGACTACTTTTTCCCGTAATACTGAGATAAAGATCCTCTGTTCTTGAAGTAGTGAAGTTGTCTGCTGCCCTGTGCATATACTTGTATTTCAGAGCTGGGCTGTGCGGCCTGATCTCCACTATCCAACAAGGTACAAGACTCACCAAGGACAAACAAGAAGCAGCTCAGCAGGGCAGAGAGACTCCACACCTTTCAGTTAACACCTTGTTAACAACATGGGAATCAATAAAAGTAGGTAAATATTATCCCTGCTGCCTTGAACTGTCTGGGGACTCACCCTGCTTCTTTTAAAGGGAATATTATTCCTGACTCTGCAGGTAAGGCAGAGCAAGGTGAGAAATGTGAGTTACTGACATCTCGGGCAGAAACACGGCAGTAAACCTCATTTCCTCCTTAAGCATATACTGAATTAGAGTTAAACTTATTTATACATCTACTGAGAATGACATTCACTTAAAACAACGTGTGTAGAATTACACATATCATATCATGAACAAGTGACAGCATAGCCACAACTGTGGTCATGTCATGCTAGTGGTATTGCAAGTTCACTTTATATTTTAGACCTGCAATACCCTCTACCCTTCCTGCTTTCTGTCCCAGCTGCAAGCTTTATATGACCACGGCATGGTTAAAGGGACAATAACACTGGTCGCATGCCTTTCTCGGCATTGTTTCACAAGAAGCAGTGATCATCTTGTATATAATAAACCTGAAAGGCAAAAAGAGCAGGATTTGTTACTTCTCCCTGGCTCAGAGAGAGAGAGTGAATGACAAATGGGAACAAGGATGAATGAGAGAAACAAAACGTTGTTTTATTATTGTTTTGTGGCATTTAGGTTCTAAAGCAGAAATAAACACTCCCACATCTCCGCACAACCCTGCGGGAAAGAGCTACATTGTGTGAAGGCTGACAGACACAAGGACCGGCAGCTTTTTATATACATCCATGAAACAGACAGAGAGCAGAGGAGACAGACGGAGACAGCGATGTTGGTCGCTATGTTTTTTTAGAGTCCTGACCTCCTGCGCACTGCCCAAAGGTTGACGACCAGAAACATCCCAAACACAGAAAAATAAGAAAACACAGGGCCGCGGGGACTCTATAGATAGAGAGCCACACACTTCTAAAATGATCACAGCAAAGCCCTCTAAACTCTGTTGACTTAAGTTGCTTCTCAGGAGTAGTCTTACCTTATCTCCACCACTGTGGCCCTTTCAATTACTGATATCAATAAATCTCAGTGACGTTTATTGAAAGGAATTGATCAAACCCTCTAGGTTTGATTAATCTTCTGTCTTTGCAGTTTCTTATTTTACATAATGTGTGTTGCATAGTGGAAATCTCATTAGAAACAAGCTACCTCAGTATTGATGAATCTACATGCAATATTACATGGAAATGACAGCCTTGCAGCTATTGTATCAAGCTGTCAAAGTTGATAAGCTGTTGATTTATTGAAAGAATGTCATCTTTTGCAACCTTTATCGTGCACGAAAAGTGGTCTTTACACATAATGATGGAGATCACACCACACCATGAGCATTACAGAAAAAATATGTCTACACTTCCAAGAATAAGACTAAATAAAAAAATACAATATGCCACAAAATGTTGGTGGAAACCCTGGTCTTATTTTGTGTACTTTTCGTCTGGCTGTGTTTGGGTCTCAGTTCCACTAAGGGAAATTGAAATGCTACAGCATATGCTGATATTTTAGACAACAATGAGCTTCCAACTTAGTGGCAGCAGCTTTGAGAAGGCCCTTTACTGTTTGATGCCCCAGGGCACATAGCCAGGCCTGTAAAGAATGTTTTCCCCAGTTTGCTGTGAAAGAACATGACTGGCCTGCACAGAGCCTGACCTCAAGCACATACAACACTTTTGGAAAGAACTGGGGCGGCAACTGCGAGCAAAGCCTCGCCATCCAGCATCAGCGGCTGACCTCACCATTTGGTGCTTGATTTAAAATGGTGTGTGTGTATGTGTGTGTGTGTGTGTGAGTAAGAACCTACTTGACATTGGTGTTGGTGCAGATGATGTACTCTATCTCATCAGAGTATGGGTTCTGGAAGGTGAAGCTGCTGGTTCGGATCAGCATCCACTCCCTGTTCTTCATTCGGAAGCGATACATTACCGACAGAACCTGACCCTTCAACTTCACCACCTGCAGAGGGAGGAGAACCACTGATCAACGTTGCTGTTTCTAATACGTCTTAATTATCCAGCTGGGCCCGGAGGAGGAAAGAGTAGCAGATATTGAAACTAATGTGGCAACAGCTTTATGTATTTTTCTTCCTAATCCAGGCTTCTTCAGATCTGTAGTTGACAATATCCAGCGTGTTCACCTGAGAGTGAAACATTCAATTAGCCATGATGTAATCAAGTCTAAATTAAACTTTTTTAGCTGAGCGGTCTTCACTGAGCCAAGAACAAAGTGGGGACCCATTAAATCCATTTTCATTTTCAACTTGTCACAAAAGCCAGTTTCATCTGGGTGGAGGGAGAATCTTAAAGAGTGTAATTAGCAGCTATTTGAAGACATTATGATAACTGTGGTTTCTAAGTTCTGGGTAGAGCTATCATATCATTTTCTGCTGTGTCATGTACCCTCTGTGGCAGGATGCTGGTCCCAATACTGTGCTCCCGGTTCCCGGTTCACTTCACTGACTGTCAGTCTGAGTAATGAACGTTCTTCCCAATGTGAAACATATCTAAAATGACTGAAATAAACTGCTGAGGATGCTTCACACAGACAGACAGAAGGGATGAGGAGGGAAGGAAAATGTTGTTCTGGTTGAGTTCAGCTACGACAATACGGTCAGAATGATGCTGTTTTGCTGACAAATTGTTTTTATATGGTAGAAATCTTATATTTATATGTTAGTGTGTTCTTTATACTATCACATTTTTTCTAAAATTAGATCTAAAAATAAATAAAGAAATCACAATATATTGAATCGTAAACCCTGTATCGTGATACGTATCATATCACCAGATTCTTGCCAATACACAGCCCTAATAAATAGAGAAGATTCTGGGGTTTCTCTGAATACATAACCAATCATTCAAACTGTATTTGTACAGCACCTTTCATTCATGCCAGTTCAGTTCAAAGTGGTTCAAAGACCACTGACGAGCCGATATCAAGACAGAACAAGTGTAGATGGTAACAGAGTGAAATAAAAACTAGATAAAATAAATTAAACAAAGATGAAATTTGTTACAATTAAAATAGATTTAAAAGGAAACAGTTAAATAAAAGCCAGACCACATACTAGATAAAATAGATCAGGATGACAAGATAAAGTAAACAAATAAAATTGATAAGGGATACAAAATCAAATATTAATAACAATAAAAATAACAGATAAAATAATATAGAACAAAACATTATAACAAAATAAAAAAATGAAGTGAATAAAATAAACAAATGTCCATAAACCAATTTTACTAAGTTTGCCAGATGAAATTAAACAACTACCTTGATTAAATAAACCAGATCAAATAAAATAGATGTATTATATTATCTATATATCCATTTAAATAACCTAATCAAGTTGTGAGTATTACACAAGGTTATGTAACATGTTAGACAATTGCAGCTGACCCATTTATAATCAGAATGAACTATATTGGTGATTAAGAGGGCTAAATACTTGCAGACATATGCAAAAAGCATAATCAGTGAACCTAATCATTCAGCCTGCCAGTACTCCTGTCAGTCAAACTAAAGTAGGTAGCACGTCTGCTAAGAGACGAGCCACTTATATATATACTTGAACAACTAAAGTGCTGATGGATTGTGTGTGTGTGTGTGTGTGTGTGTGTGAGAGAGAGAGCTGGATGAGAGCCAGAAGTTTCCACAGTGAGCAGAGAAGGAAAACATTCCTGGTGCTTCTGGGTTTGACCTGGGTTTGATTTAATGATCTCTACATCTTAAATGTATCTAAATCTAATCTAATATGGTATCTAGTCTTTTTTATGACTATCCAAACACTTTAAAGGTCCCTCTTAGCATTCTAATGTACCATATAATAAATCTGCGTTGTGCAGTCTAGACTTAATATAGCTGACAATGAAGTCTGTCATTTTGCTTTCTTCCTCCCACACAGCCTAATAGCACAACAGTGGGCAGTTTAGTGAAGGTGGTGTTGAAGGCTATTCTCTTAGTTCACAGGTTTAGTCAGCATTTCAGTGCTTCACTTTATCAGATTAGTTTGAACCTGTAAGCGCTAACAAAAAGCATAGCATAATATTACCCCAGTGCTGGCTTTGCTACACTGGCTTTCCGTTAAATGTATGATTACATTTAAAATCCTTCTAATTATTTTAAGGTGTTACACAATGTGGCTCTTGCTCCTCCATATATGAGTGAGCTGTTAATCCTACACGGGTCTTTCAGACCTTCCAGGTCATCAGGTCAAGGGTTCCTGGTTGTGCCCCACTCCAAGTTCAAGAGAGGAGGTGACAGAGCTTTAATGTGGCCTGCTGACTATGTAAAAATGCAGTTTCTACACTGAATCACTATAACCATATGGGAATACCAGTCACAGGACTAAGATTAAGATTAAGATTAAGATTAGATATGCCTTTACAGATTTATTTAACCTTCATTGATCTCATCAGATCAAGAGCACTTAATCGTCGGGGGTTTCGGCTTTCTTGCTGGAAACTGACGCAATCTAACATTTAGCTGTGTGCAGGTTCAGACATGGGACAGTTGTGGAGCGGGTCTATTCTCTGTGTTATAAAATTAAAAGAAAAAGGTCACAGCAATGTTGAACTGCGCAACCCTCAGTGGTTGGCAGACCTCCCTCCACACTGATCAAAAGCTTGCAAAGAAAAGACGGGCTTTTGTTGCAAATATATGCAACATGGCATTATTTGTTGTGAAACTTTGACTTTGAAGGCCAATCAGTGACAGTAACTCCACGGACCTTCACTGTTTACAGAATTGAACCAGCACTCAAGATTTTGCAGCCTTTGAGAAGGACATTAACCTGTTCTCAGAGCCTCTGTTGATGTGGAAGGAGCAGATGCAATTGGAGCTTATTGAAAAGCATTGTGATGACAGCTCTTTGGACATAAATATGTGAGCAAACACTTTCTCTTATAACACTGAACAAGAGCAGGCTGAAGGTCAATATAGCAGACAGTAGTTCTTTAAGTACCATTGTCCCCATTAGGAGTGATATTTACTGGTGTAATTTAATACTGATAAAATCCTCTTACAATAGTGTAAACATTATTCATAGAGTCTTTTAAACTAAGATTCAGGGCCCAGGGCTACATACATTGTTCTCCAGGTGGGCCCTGGCATGTTAGGTTGGGACTAAAAAAACGCAATTGTAACTCTGGTTTTTGTGTTATATAGAGTTGTACTAACTCATTTACTGGCTTTGCACATCATTTGTGTACATTAATTTTGCTTTATAATTTTTATAATTATTAATTTTTTCCCATCTCTTAAACTTTAACTCTATGACCTAGCTGTTGCTTTTTGTACCTGACTCAAAAAAAGGGAGCCTTTCGGTCCAGTTAACAGCTACAGTCCCGTCTTACCTGTTGGAAACTTTCTCTCAGGTGACTCTGGTCCTCAGGATGGCAGAACTCCAGGATATCTTTCCCCAGCAGGTCCTACAGGACAGTATAACAGTAGGTTAACCAGTTTGTTTGACCAAACAACACAAAAAAACATATATCATATTCCATAATGCATCCTACAGTAGGATTACAATGTCCACAGATTGTTTTTGTCTATTAAATAAACCGGTAGTCAAAAACAGATCTTACATCTACATATCGGAAGAGACAGTAGTAGTAGTTGTTAGTAAAAGCAAAGGCTGGCACAGTCAGAGTATACACTAAACAAACTAATGGAGATCACAGATGATGCTGCGTTGCTCTGAATACTATTTTGTGGTTAATTAACCAACAACTGAGTTCCAACTCAGTATTTCTGTTTTCATCTCAGATAAACTCAGATATTAAATGCAGGTTTCCTTAAAGGTGAGAGGTAATTGTGGATGTTTCATTGCAGGTGATAATAAATGAAATGCCAGATATCTAATTTTAGAAGAAAGATAAATGTGTTGCAGTAAAAGAAAAAAAATGCTCTGCAGGAAAATAACAAGTTTCTCCTCCAAACAGGACGTGTTTGTTATGAATGATAATATAACAGCATGACTCTGTTTCCGAGGTGTCTTGTTGAGTAATGGGAGAAACCGGTCAACAAAGGCACAAGCTGACTGGCCACAGGAATGTGTTTGACATACCAGTGCAGGCAACAATTGTTTTTCATCTTGGTCTGCTTATTTCCACTGTCAACACACTAACTCGTGTGCATAGCTGATAATGCAAAGTACTGCGGAGTCATGGAATTTGCTCCTCGTGTGGAACATGAGGAGTTCATCTGGGACCATAGCGTGACTGGGGTACTGCAACAGAGCCAGTGAATTATCTTAAAGTTAGGGGGTCAAAGTCATTGAAAACAAGTGTTTGTAATTCACACATGAAGCCTCTGACAACTGGCAGGTGGTCATGTTGTGGAACTGGACACATTTTTTGCATATTTCTTTTATGTTTGGTCTAAACAGTGATATATTTTGGAACTAGTCTGATCACACTAATATAAGCGTAATATCTGCCTTTAGTTATAGAACAAGTAAAGGTTGGTTGCTAATGAAAGCCAGGTAGGAAACATACTCACTGCTCTGCTGCTCTCACATTTCTTTCACAAAAATACAACAAATTAATTCCATTTTGACGTTCTTTTGATCGTTCCTAAGTTACCGCCATTGAAACGCAACACTTCCTGTAGATGTTTCACAAGCCTACCAGGAAGGGGAGGGATTATGCCTTTGAGTAACTGGAAGGCTTTTAATGTGAAACAAATATGCAGGAAGTGTTGAGTTTCACAGGTGTTAGCAGCAATCCAAGAAGTTTCAAAGTTTAAGCGCCTAGTTTTGTATTAGTGAATGAAAGATGTTGTTCTGTTTGAATGAGAGAAATCTGAGTATGACTTGACTCTGTTGTTATACTGATGGAATTAGTGTGTGGAAATATCCATTGCACTGAATTTATCAAGACAACAAAAAATGGAGAAACAGTGAAGCTTCATACTTACATTGGATCAAATATTCATCAGAATGAGGAAACTTATAATTATAAGGAATTTATAATATACTCTAATATAAGCCTGTTTCAGGTGAAGGCATGGTTCTCTTTGCTGTTGAACTAAAAAGATGAGATACCACTTTAAAATAGAACAAGGACAAAACTTAAAGCTGCAGTAGTAACTTTTATAAAAAATAAACTTTCACTATATCCTCCTGACAGTAGAACATGAGACAGATAATCGGATCAGGTTGGCTTTCATTGGTTGTTTTCGTTCAGGCCTGGTGGATTCTTACAAATGTCATTAGGAGCACTAGGAGGAGCCAGAGGAACCTGATTTTCACAGATTATCTGTATCATGTTCTAATGTCAGGATATAGTGAAAGTTTCAGCAGATATGACAAAAAAGTTGTTTTCATAAAAGTTACCTACTGCAGCTTTAATCAAAACCCCACGAAAGATCATTCCTGACAGTTTACTGTGGATATGAACATGTGAGGACAATGTAAATTACCCTCAAATGAAACTTAAAAACAGATGATGACACCATGAATTATGAATCCCCCACTGACCTGAGGCTGATAACCAATGACGTTGATGCAGCGCGGGTCGACAAAAGTGATGACACCATCCGAGTTGTGACGTGACAGGAACTCTGTGGGCACCGACAGGCCGTTCATATCCATAGAGACTGGAGAGCTGGTCACCTGAGGGTATTTAAGACAAGGAGAGATGAGGTACAAATAATACTATATTAATAGCTGTGTTTCCATCCAAAAGTTTGGGAAATTGTAACCGAAATTTCGAGGATTTTTGAAAAAAGTATAAAAAAGTATCCGTACTTGGTCTGCGACTATCAATAGTGACACAGTGTCAACTCACTGAAGCTGCGAGCTGTTTCAGAAACATTTCTGATTAAGTGATAGTGGAAACCATAGCATCGATGATAGATTTTTGCTGCTGTGGTTCAGATAATAATAGTGTTTACCCATCAAGAATGAGGGAAATGAAAAGGAAATGAATAAAAACAAATCTATTGATAAAATAAATAAATGAAAATACAAATAGGATGTAAAGAAATGTGTCTTTAAATGAGGAAATCAAAGTGACAGTAATTCAATGAGTGAATAAGTAATGGTCCATAATTAATAAATATAAGTACATTTCCTCCATTCCACTGGGCATGTTGGTGTAGTTAGTTGCTTCTGGAGCGCCAATGAAACTCACTGCTGCTGGTTGTTTAGAACGGCAGCGATCAGTTTCAGCGGCCATGTTGCATCTGGAACGCAATGCAGCTGTGCCCGTTGGAATTATCCAATTAGTGTAAACGGTAAATGGTAAATGGACCTGTACTTGTACTTGTATAACGCCTTTCTAGTCTTCCGACCACTCAAAGCGCTTTTCCAAAATCTTTTCAGTAACAAACACTATGGCGAGCTTGAATTTCTGTCAGTTATGATTGATACCAACAGTGACAAGTTTCCATAAAAAAATAACCAATCAAATTGAAAACCCCTCAACCCACTCCTGCAGCAAATCCACTCCTCCACTTGAGTTGTGTGTAAAATATGACTAAATTCACAGCTTGTCCAATTATTGCCCCTTTCCTCAGAGGCTGAGATGGATGCAGTATATTTAGCAAAAATGTGTTGATTGTTTAAAACATACTCTCTGACAGAGGGACAGATGAGAAGCGAATGATGCTGGTTTAATATGGACACTTTGATACTAAAGGTTTAGTGTTTTATTGTGAAATCAAAGTGGGGCACCTGCAGTCTTCCGATGGCCACTAGGCAGTATTTTCCAGTCTGACCCGCCTCTGTGTCTTCATCTGGTATAGTCATACCTGAGGGAAAGAGTGTCAGAGACAGAGACATTTAACAGACATTTCTCATAAAGTGTAACCACTTACTTTTCCATTTGCTACCTGAACTGTGCAGCAGTGAGAGGTAATCTACTGGCTGACATGGCCACCGCTCCTCTACAATGATTTATAAAGCATGTATTTACCATTAAGCCTCCACGACGCAAGATGGATTTTAGCCACAATACCAGAATCATTCAAAAAATATATTCAAACCTGCTCTCCCTCAGTCTAATACAAATAATTCAGTACAAGAGGGAGGGGGAAAACAGATACATGCAGACAAATCAATTCCAACTTCTACCATCAAACATAATGTATCTCAGTAAGTTTCACTCACAGTAGCAGCAGCATTGTACACTTCCAGACATCGTGTCACTGACTGCATTTTCAACTAGCTGGATGGGTTTACATTAAATCACATTTCTCACATTGTGATATTGGAATATGATTGCTTTTATTTAAAGGTCCAGTGTGTAACATTTAGGAGGATATATTGGCAAAAATTGAATATAATATTCAAAGGTATACACAAATTTGGGAAGTTTGATTGTGGTGGCGTCTCCCTACGATATGTGAGCATCTGAATGCTAGTGTACAGAATTTTCTATTTTTCCTTGACTTTTTAACAATGTCTCAGAAATGGGGAAGAAGCTGTTCAGTTATCAGCTGCTTCAACATCAACTTTAGAAAAAAACTGAAAGTTAAACACACTTCAATGTCTGAGACCATACACTGTTCATCAGAGGACCAAGATGTTTACATTCCAGGCCATTAATGAATATCTATTATTATCTTGAGTACCTATGAAAACAACGTGAAATTGTATTTAATTAGTAATTTTTTTTTACTAATATAACTGTTCTATGATTATTAAATGCAATTCTTGATTGATTATGCTAGCTAGTACACATGGAGGACTCTGTAGAAGAGGACCCGCTCCCTCCGTAGAGAAAAACGGCTCATTCTAACGATAACATATCTATGAATATTATATTCCAATTCTAGATCCTCATCAATGTTACACACTGGACCTTAAACCCAGAATATAAGGATTTTACAGTGACCCTCAAAAACATGGATGATCCTAGAGAAACCAAAGAGCATCCACAGCCCCTCCAAAGGCCTCAGGGAACAGTCTATAAAAATATATAGACGGTCTGTAATCACGTTTACTCACAGAGCAGCTACATCTATTTTGCTGAAATTCCTCACCAGTTAACAATGGCGATTCCCCATAGGGCTGAAAGAGAGGAGCCGCCACATAAAAACAAAACCATGACTCTGTCCTCATTCATGGCTACATTCCTCTCCTCTAGCACAGTTCAGTCAGCAGCAGCTGTACGGGTGCCTTAGTGCGCAACGTATGTGTGTCTGCAGCTCGTGTCTCTCCCTTATCCATCTGCGATTTATGAGTGTGTGCGTGTGTCTTGCCTGATGACCCTTCGCCAGCAGTATTGTGTCCAGAACATTCCAAAGGGGTATTTTTAGTACAAGGAAGTGAAACATGTGTCAATAATTTCAAAACACACATGGTGTATGTGTGTTTGTGTTATACCTGGAAATATTCCAGCATGAGCTCAAAGTTATGTGAGGCGATTTAGTCTTCTTTTACTTGAGGCTGTCCAGTTCCATCACCCCACTTGAGTGTGTGTGTGTGTTTCTGTTGCAGTCAGAGAGTACGTCCAAGGCCTTGGGGATTCTTACAACTGGTGTGCCTTAGATCCACTCCAGTTATACTGGTACACGGTATGAGAGTTTCCTTACATTAGTACACAGTATATAACAGCTAAAAAGATATCTGAGAGTGAAATCTATCAGTCCTAATCAATAAGTTTTTCTAAGATTTGGACGAATCATGCATGGAGGTCTCAGCTAATACAGTAGGTCTGTATTGTTCTAGTTTTGTCTTATTGTCAACAACTCCCCTGAAGACCTAAACCAACAATGCATTAGTCTATCTTTTAATACTTTAGGAATTCCCTACCCTGTCTGGGATTCTCAACCCCAAGCCCATTGGTTCCTACTGAAGACATAAATATTTAACAGCAGCTCAAAGACACACAGTTTAAATAAATAAATACAAAAGACTCAGCTGGTTGTAACCCAAACAGGAGGAAATTATGCGCTTGTGTGGGACTATTTTCAGCGATGGATTAATCCACATTTAGTGCTCTAGTGATATGTGATCTCAATTAATGTGTGACAAAATAAACTACAGTGTGTGTGTTAATGGTAATGAACGAACATGTCAGCCAGTGTAACAGTGTGGCTCACTGACAGCTCAGGTGAGTCTTGAACCATCCCTTAGTTATGCTGCTATAGGCTTAGACTGCTGGGGGACTCCTCCTCTCCCCGTCCACATTAATGTCTCATTAATGTTACCAACTTCACTTATTTCTTAAGTTCCCATGGATGGAAGGCGTGCCTACCTAGATCGAGGATCATTATCATTATTTATTATTATTATTATTGTAGTAGTAGTCATATTTCTATTTTTATTATAGTTGTGTGTTAATAAAGCTCAGTGGAGGTTCAAGCATGAAGACTCATTTATTCACAAATCTCTCACTCCCTTTCTTAATCAGCTAAACTAGTCAGACTTAGCCACAATCTCCTGCAGCTGATCATGTAGCTGCTATCAAACTTTAAATCCGTTCTCCTCTCTGCTGCTTTCAGCTGTCATTTCAGTGCTCCTCCACCCCGTTCACCTCCACTTCATCATATCTAGTGTTGAGGTTGAGCTCATCTGACATCCACTCCTCATCAACACTGCCAGTGTCTAGCCTATACTAAACACAGCTTCACTGACCCCTTCAAATACAATGAAGTCACGATGGGGTATAGATGCCAAAGACTTTTGACATTTCTCTTATACTGAGCACGTGTCAATTATTTGCTCATTCAAAGCAAAGTCTCTCCTGATTACTCCTATTACTGCTGTTGTGCATCTCTGTATGAAACATGTCCTAAGATCATTTCTGTTATGTCTTGGCATTATATAAATAAAACTGAACTGAACTGAATTGAATTTGTTGACAAAAGGAGTGTGATTTAAAAGGATTCTGAGCAAGGTGACCTGACTTTGTTCAATGGTGAACAGTCTGTGCATTCAGTTCAAGTCAGTTCACTGACACTACATCAATTTAACCCCAAAACAGCTAGCAAAGTAAATAGTAGTGAAGTAGTAAAGAAAATAAACTTGCAAGCTTTAAAACAAGTAAACAATTAAGCTTTTTTTTTGTCTTCAGATGGGTGAGGACTAAGTTTATGGGGTTTGGATTTTGGTCTGCAGGTCAGTAAAAAGGTGGGGCCAGGTAACATCTTATCACAGTGAAACAGTGTCAGTATTGGAATGTTCTGTAACAAATGTGTATTCTGGCTGACCACAGCTGCGGTTCATCATAAAGGAGCAAACTACAAACCTTTTACATCTAAGTTTCAAACACACAGGGGGTGAGCGTTTCATTTCCCCAAAGATAGATTTTTGACTGTGTATCATCAGACCTAATTTCAGGGTAAGCATGGAATCACAATATGCGAGTCAAGGAGAGTGACAATTTCTGCAAACATCCACTCCATTTTCCCTCCATAGCAAATGCGATGACTGCGGTCCTGCAGTTGCATTTTGGGGCATAAAGTGCTCTGCAAAAGAGGAATCTCAAGAAAGTAAAAAAAGCCTTGTTTCTGGGAAATAAGTATTTTTCTAAAAAGAAAAATAAACTTGTCAAGCATGTTTTGGGTTAGAAAGGTTATCTTGTTTCAATTTTGTCTAAATAAGACATTACAGCTAATATTGAGCTTAAAAACTTCCAACAATGGTTTACATAATATCCAAACAGAGGAACAAGATTATTTTCCTTATATGAAGAGGAAGACCACTTGGACAATTTCTCAGTTTAAGAGCAAGTAGTCTTGTCCCAGTGTTGGAAATGAAGCAGCTGTTTAGTTTTTCATTGTTTTAATAACTAAAACTATATATAACTATAAAAATAAAAATGCTTCTGGTGCCTTCATTTAAGACAAAGTCACTTATTTTTATTATGCTAATTGAAGAAATTGTGTCTTATAGTAAGATTTTTTCCCCCTAATTATTAATCTTAGATTAAAACTGCAGAAGGTCATTTCCCAAAAAAATATTGCTTTTGTCATATTTGCTGAAACTTTCACTATATCCTGACACCGGTAATCTGTGAAACAATCAGGTTCCTCTGGCTCTTCCTAGTGCTCCTAATGGTATTTGTAAGAATCCACCGGGCCTGAAAAAAACAACCAATCAGAGCCAAGAAAGATATAAAGTCTGTATTTGACGCTGGAAATAAGACTATCTTTCTTAGCTCTGATTGGTTGCACTAGGAGGAGCCAGAGGAACCAGATTTTTTCACAGATTATCTGTGAAACAGTGAAAATTTCAGCAAATATGACAAAACGTTACTTGCAGCTTTAAGGTACACATTCTTAAATTCAGCTCAAAAAAGTGACCAAAATACATATGTTAAGAAAGTCCATCTTAAATGATTTAGTTTTCATTGTTTGCAATAAACCCAACTTGCTTAAATTATTGGCATTTTTTCAGTACTAGTTTTAAGAATTCCAGCCAAGCCTAATTGGCTCAATACAAGAAAATGTGATTATATTAAAGAATATTTGGCTTGTTTCTAGAAGGGCTGTTTTTGCAGTGTGATATTTAGAGGAAGTATAGAAGAGTCCCCTTCCTGAGTGTACAGAGACAGGAGCGGGGATGAGAGCAGAGCCAGAGGAACACCAGGAGCTCCTGGGAAGTTCCTGGTAGGTGAGACACACTCCACACACAGGCTTGTTGTTACAGCAAACATCCGTACTGTCAGTTGGGAAATCCATCACCCAAAAGACAGACTGCAAAAACACTCCAGCAGGCAAAGTCACACCAGACAAAGATATGAAACGTTTACTTTCCACTGTATCTGAACACAGGCTCATGGGAGAGCCACGGACTTTCCAAAAAGCTGCTTTGAATCCTGCTGCTCCACTCACTCACACTGGATGGGTTCCAGAACCACACATGCTGTTGTGGATCTGTGGTTGAACCCAGGTCCCGATCCAGAGCTGCACAGAGCCCACAGCTGCTTTAGGTTAGACTGGGCCGCATTTACTCCGGGCGGGGTTTCATGCAGTGAGGTGAAGTTTGGGTTGAGTGGGGAAAAAGATGAGAGCATCGAGTGTGTGTGTGTTTGTTTACCTGCGGGAGGCCAGGCTTTGATGTAGCCAGTGCAATGCACCACAGAGTACTGAGCCTCTCCTTCTTTTGAGGGTCCAAGGCCATTCCTGTCAATCAAACACACACAGACACAGCAGCATGTTAGCTACTCAGACACAGCTGTGGAAGGACTCAAAAACAACACAGGTCAAAACGTAACATTGTTGGTTTCATATCTCTCTTCAAGTCATGGCTTTTAGGTTAGAAGCACCTTTACTTACTGGGTGTTAGTGGGCTAATGCAAATCTGTATCTGTTCATGTCACGAAAATATCTTTGTACATGGCTTATTTCTGCTTCATTTTCTGTGTTAACATAAAAAAGTCTAAACAGAGTGTAAATAAAAGTGAGGAAACTGTAAATGGTCTGGGTGGAAATCAAAATTGAAAATAGAATGGGAGGTTAGTGAGCCAGAACCGCATTGGCCCATACTGCCTGTTTTGTTGTTTTTAGATAGGGACTTTGTGAATATAATTGGATGAGGCCCAGATTAGTCACCAAATATGGGTTTTTAGTAGGGATGTCCGATAATATTAGCCCTCCGATATTATCGGCCGATATTCACTATAAAATGTAATATCGGGAATTATCGGCGTCAGGTTTTTATAACCGATGTTTGTTCTGTAGGCTTCAGCATTTCCGAGCCTGCATGAACGCAGCATGGGACATTTACCGGCACGCGCTAGATGACGTATAACAACAACAGCTACACGCTAGACTGGTTGGTTGCTAACCGTGGCTAACAAGCAAACAATTTAAAGCTGAATGATTTTAATATTAACACAAAATAAGTGCAATGTACCTTAAATATTTGACCCTGCTATGAGCTGTTCCTTAACCAAACTAACAATTGGTTTAGAATTTACATTAGCACTCCTTCAGGTGAATAATACAATTAAACACATTAACCAAAGCTAGCGCGCAGCTAGCGATTAGTGTTAGCGCTCTTTTCAGTATTAATACAATGAAAGTTGAAGTTGTTCTCTTATTTTGCACAGACAGTGTTTACATTTGGAAAGCCATGTTGCATTTATGCATCCAGTGGGGCATCACAATAAAATTAGGCATAATGTGTTCATTCCACAATAGGAGCTCTGTTATGTTGTTACCTAACAACAGTTTTGGTGTAAAAAGCCTGCATATATCGGTATCGGGTGATATCGGTATCGGAAATTGAGAGTTGGACAATATCGGAATATCGGATATCGGCAGAAAAGCCAATATCGAGCATCCCTAGTTTTTAGATATATAATGCCAATATCACAACAAGGAAAAGTCATGCACTTCTAATATACATGGTTATGTTAGCCAGTAACATGTTATTTCTTTCCCTTCTGCGCAGAAAGGCATGTTGTACGCTGTATGTATCGTCAAAACAACAATGACGATATTATCGCAAACGATATATATCGCCCACCTCTAATTGATGTAATGGGATGTTTTTATCTGTTCTGGTGAGACCAAAGGTGATTGTCCGGCCTCGGCTGGACAATAAAGTTCTATCCTATTCTATTCTATTTTATTTAAGGGAGAGCAGGGTACAGTATGGCAGAAGCAACGCCACTCAACTGCATTCATTTATACATTGTAACATATTTAATGCTAGCCAGTAACGGTTTTGGGTTAGATTAGCTGTCAATCAGGAGAAACGTGTTAACATTTAGAAAAGCTGATGGTAACTGAGGACATTTAGGCGATGTTTACAGCAGGAGGCATCAAAGTAATAGTACAGGGCTCCAAACAAACTTTTTCCCACCTTCCCTAAGCATTAAAATTTGTTGCAGGGCAGCCACACTGACGGGCCAAAGGCATCAGTAACGTCAGAATACTAGATTATTGGCCTGATTACTCAGCCGATTGATCTGTCACTAGCCCAGATGAGGTTGGGGGGTTGCAATCTGCAACTACACCACTAGATGCCACTAAATCCCACACACTTGGCCTTTACATAACCCACAGTATACGATTGTATCTGCTGACTGTTAATACCAGCTGACCCAGACTGGAACAGTATTTTGAAAACTCACAGGAACCTGTTCCCCAGCATGTTAATGGATGTTGGGGAAGGAGGGAAAAGGAGGAGAGATAGAGAGAGGGTGAGGCAGAAGGAATGATCTAAATGATAACCATGCTTAGAGAAGAAGTTCCTGTACCTGTATCTCTTCCTCATGTTGGACAGACGGTTTAGGGAGATGTGATCCAGAGGAGCACTACCGCACCTGCATAAAAACACAAAATAAAGACAACAGCAGACATTACACTCCACATGGTGGTATAAAATGCCAACAGCTGGCTGCTAATCCCAGCACATACAAACAATATCCACACATATCCATCCTCACATGGTCCCTTCTTTATTGAAATGTTTTGTAAGATTTTGTAACTTGACCACAGTTCTGATATGTTCCACTAAGAGAGTGTTGGTCTTTGGTCCAACAGCGGTACCATCTCATTTCTTTTTTTGTTTGTGCTGCAACTAAGTACTTCACTCCAGTGTAGAGGTCAGTTGCAGTTGCCCATGTTCTCTGTTGTCAGTTCACAGAAATGAACTGTAGACTGTTCAATTACTCAAATTGCTTGTTTTATTAAAACATCTGTCCAAATTCCAAAGATATGTGACCACGGAAAGCAGGGAATCAACCTTCAGCAAAGCAATCTTGTTTTAAAAAAATGTATCTAACTGTGTCTTAATATGCTAATATTGAGCTTGATTTAACCGTTAACGAGTAAGTTCCAACAATGGTTTGAAGACTATCCCAGTAGAGTAGAACAAGATTATTTTACCTATTTTAAGAGACTTGCACAACAACTTAAGTTGTCTTGTCTCAGTGAAATGAAGCTGTTTAGTTTTCCATTGTTTTAATGAAAAATGCTAAAAATAAGAATGCTTCTGGTGCCTTCATTGAAGACAAAGTCACTTCTTTTCATTATGCTGTTTGAAGACATTGTGTCTTATTGTAAGTTTTTTTTTGCAAATTATTAAGCTTAGATTAAGCTACAAATTCTTAAATTCAGCTCAGTAAAGTGAACAAAATACTTCCACCTTTAATAGTACGCGAGTTTTCATTGTTTGGAATAGGCACAACTTGCTTCAATTTTTGGCACTTTTCTAGTTTTAAAGCCCATTACAGTCTTTCAGTGGCTAGATTTTTATTCTAGTTTTAAGAATTATAGCCAAGCAAAACTATCTTGGCAGAAGAACCCTTGGCATATTTTTTTGCTCAATAGAAGATTTGATTATACTGAAGAAAATTTGGCTTATGAGGCAGAGACTTAATGTTATGAGTCAGTAACACTGTGTACAGTCAACAAACAGTAAATATAATTTAACAGTATGTTTAACAACAAGACAAGCTAGCTATCAGCCATGTCACTGTCCCCAAATCAATCAAGATTTTCACCAACGATGTGTACTGATGGCTGCAGCCTGAAGTAGTGTGCTGAATAGTGGATGGGGTGTGGGAGGATTGCTTATAGAAAGGGTCTCCATCCTGTAGTGTTCAGAGGATGAGCCACTGAAAGACTACACTCACTGCTGTGAGATATATTTATATATTCAGATATTCAGATTTAGTTTTCATTTAGTTCATTTGAGCTCATTAATTCAGAAATGTAAACAGACAGTTTCACTGGAACTACTTAGTAGGTGTCCTACATCAGAAATTAATGGACAACCTGCAGCCAATCAGAAATGAGTATTCACCCAGACCACGGCATGAAGAGGCCTGATTACATGTCACCTTTGCTCAGTGAATAGACTGAACCACAAACAGCTTACAGAGTGGAGTCGGAACACTGCAGGCAGCCGTTGACTTGGACTACAGTCAGCGGGTGTTTTTCTGTGGAAAGGCCAGTCTTGTGCTTGAACGTTACATAAACCTGCCTGGATCTAATAATGGCTTCCTTGAAATGTTAGCCTGCTGCTCATGCTGTGTTTCTCTCTGCCTTGTTTATGTACGTGTCACAGAAGTGGTTGCGTTTCTGTTTGCTTGCAGTCCCATTCGGAGTGTCCCAGCAGCATGTTGTTTGAATTATGCAGAGCCTGGAATAGCAACAGAACAGAAGAACGTGCCAGTCCGATAAATTCCTAACACGTTCCGGCTCTCGTGCAAAAAAATTGCAGGCCTTTGTGACGGATCCAGACAAAACAAGGCTAAAGCAGCCCCAAGTGATTCCACACACTCTGGGACTAACACACAAACCACAGCGTGTCAGGAAAAAAATGTAAAAGGTGTGTTATTTGTTACTAAACATGAGCTTTTCCAAGCCCTTCAAGCATTCAAAGCTGCTTTGATGTAGTTTGTAGTAATGAGGACTGTGGGGCAAACTGTGATATCCTGACAGAGCACACGCAAAGAGACCAATTTAGCAAGAAAGTGGGTTTGTAAAGGGTCAGAAGCTATGGACTGGGGTGACATCCAACAGACGGCAATAATTATTAGAATATAGATGGAAAGCCTGTTAAGTCTAATTATCTATGATGTATGGAAACATCAGTCATTTAACCAAAACCTCTGGGGAGCAAAAGTATTAATGCTATCACGTCAGGATAGAAAGGCATATGGTGTGAGGTTCATGTGGTGTGAAATAGGTTATGGGTCCATGAACATCTCAATTTAAAAAGCAGGCATGAGTCATATTTTGTACTGTTGCTGTGTGGTATTAAGCCACCGTTACAGAACATGACTTTCGCTGTCAAGCGCATCTGAACTCTATCAATTCTAGTCAAGAAAATACAGGCACCTTCTAAACTGCAGAGGAGAGACATTTCTAATTTAAAGTAAAATAACTACAGCCATCTATCAGATTAACAGCTTAACTAGAAGTATCCTGCTGGTTTTATTGGCCAGTCATTACATCCATGTACCAATGGACAATAACCTAGAACCACCACCTCGCAGTTGATGCCTCCCGCAGCCAGTCAAGTTGTAGTTTACATCCTCAAGACTTTGAAGGAGTTTAATAAAAGGCAGAGGCAGAGACAAATACGTCTTACTTTACTTAAGTAGTTTTTTTACATTTTCAAAACGGGCTTGTTATGTAACTTCTAATGCATTTGAGGAGAATGATCAATTTATGATTATTATTTTGCATCATTCCCATCTTCCCTACATCATCATGCATGACAGAACATGATGAGTATTTCTTACTTTTACACACGGAGTACATTTCAGAGCCTATACACAAGAATCTGTATTTCTACTTGAGTAAAAAATGTTTGTACTGTTGCCAGCTCTGAAAAAGTGTGTTTTTTTGGCAAAATGGCAGTTAACAGTATGATTCCAGAGAGACACATGCCTTGCAGGACAGGGCAAATTGACTACATTAGTTTGATCACAGCCCCTAAGTACAAATTCAAATCATGTAGAATTTATTTCATTTTACAGAAAGTGTTCACAAGTTAGCGTCCGGGTAAACCCCGGTAAATACAGTTTATCGTTCATTCAACAAAATACGCACCTACGTTCAATCATTTTCCAGGTGTTTTCATGACTGGCAATCTAGTCTCTAAATTTTCAGGTTTTCCAGGATGCATGCGAACACTGTGCAAAGAAGCTACATCTAAAGCTAAGTGGATGCTTCACACAGGTCTTACAACCCGGCAGCACAGAGGATGTCTGTGTCTGTGATTCTGTACATCAAAAAGTACAGATCACCTGTAATTTAAATACAGTTTGCAGGATGTCTTTTGGTTGTTTCGCAGTTTATGAGCCGACCCACCTGATCCCACTGGAGCGCAAGAACTTGTCACTGTTGTCAGTGTTACCTGCTGGGTGATAATAGTTACCACCATAGAGCATAACAGCAATGAGCCATGTACTGAGAGCTCCAGTATAGGGTACAAACTATCAGATTAAATGGTTCAGGCCATCATCCCTGCATTTTTCATATTGTTCTATAAATATATACTGTATATTTTCACATCATTACAACAATCTCCCTAACTGTAACCCCCCCCCAACAGGTCTGCATATTATGATTAATTGTGAGAATAATAGCCTGAACACCACAATCAATCACAAGTGAAACACCATTGTAAAAGTGTCTGTAGGGGCTAATTAGAAACAGCTCAGCAGGACTCTTGACTGTTCCGTGTGTGCAGCAGCTGAATGAAAGAAAACTGCCATTCACGTCTTTGTGAACGTCTAATGGTTGTCGCTTTGTGAGCTACATACTGCTGACTGCCCGTCACATTACTTGGACCCCTGCTGTTTACCATTGTGTACCAGTTCAGGCTGCTGGCCTGTCGATTGATTCAAATTCACTGTTACAAAAGCTGAAGTGACCTCATATCAGAGGCTCCATTTGTTTTCAACATGCTTTAATCTATCCACATCTAATTTCTTTTAATTAGTCATTATCTAAATCTGTTACTGACAGAATGATTCACTGCTGAAAAATGACATATCCAGAGCTTATGGTTCTGCAAGCTTTGTTAGAATTAAAATGTGTGACTGGACTCATCCCTGATGGAAATATTTCAGGATTCTGTGTAGCACATTTTAATGTTGAAACACAGAATATATTTTTATATTTTTGGAAAGGCAGCGTGTTGAGTTTAAATAACACAAGATAATGCAACACTTATGACACTTAGGGTAGTGGTTAGACTGCTCAACGTTGGCCTGGGTCTTTAAAAAAACACTTCCACCAAGTCAATGGATAGAAATAAAAACACACACCAAATAGTCACACAGTCACACACACCTCATGCGGCAGATGAAGGAGCGTCTGGAGCCCATGCACATCCTCATGGAGGACTGCTGTCCCTCCTTCTTCACTGTTCCTGTCTTCAGGTCCAGAATCCGTCCTGTTGACACACAAACGGAAAGTCAAATTAAAATGACGGCACAGATAACATGAACATGTAGACCAGTAAATACTTATTCACAACCAACAGCCAGTTACTCCTTACTTCACTTCTAAGTTCATAGCCCTATTTCATTCACTGTGCCTCACTTCTATAAAAGCATATAAAAGCTGTGTTTTTTCATGACTGTGATAATGGGAAAGCCATTGTAAAGACAGAATGCTGTTATGTAACGTTTTACAAGTTGAGCTTGAATTTTACATTTTGAAAACTAAAAGACTGGCTCAACAGTAACAAGTTCACATCCAAAGGCCAAATATTATTATACAATTGCAGTATGGCCAAGTGCAATATGCAAATCGCAGAGGCTGCATTTTTTTGATAAAGGTCAAATATGAGAAACAGCATTATAATGAAGTACTATAGTGCTGCAGATGTGCCCCAGCCTACAAATCCTGTTCTCCAGATGGAAGAAAACATGTTTGTTTGGTATAGGCCCCAACAAATGTTTTATCACTATATTTTTATACTATTTATCTTTCTTTTGTGAAAATGTAATTTGTGATGCAAAAATGAGCTGCTGTCAGTGTCTACTGGCTACTACTAGCCCTCCTCTTAATGCTACACCCTGCCAGGCTGATGGTGCTGCTGAGCACGACACCACAGTGGATCATTTAGGAAAAGATGGGCCTAAAAAGGTTAGTCTACACACCTACCCAATGAGCCCGTTTAGGAGGAAGAAGAGACACCTTCTTCTGACTGGCACTGGAGGAGGGACGGGCTGGAGTACTCTGGATGCATTCAATATAAAATGTTTCCTTGTATATTTACACTTAAGTGATTTCTCCTTGTGGTTGTAGTCACAAGGACCAGGCTTTAGATTATTAGGAAAGCACAGAGAATGCATTCCTTTTGTATTTTGTTTCTTAAAATGTTCTCCTGGGGAGCATACCACTGATGGTTTCACTTTTCCTGTGCCTGACTACGTTTCCACTTGCCAGTAATTTGGTACCCTCCTGATATAAGCCTCGTGCCCTGTTGGATATTTGTTCTAGCTGGCCAATGAATGTCTGAATATCATTGTATGAGACAGTCAGTACCTGATATGATGAAGACATTGGAAGTCTGAGGGCGTTTTCACACCTATAGTTCGTTTGCTCTGGTCCGAATCAGGGACCAACTTGTTACAATGTTGCATATGGCCTCGAGTTTGGTTTGTGTTCACAGGGCAGCATTTACAAGCGGACCAAAATGTGTGATGCGCGAGGAAACTGCTCTCTAATTGGTCAGAATTTCCTTGCGGGAAAACTCCCGGAAGTAAACAAAGAAGAGCAGACTCCAGAGCGCCACTTTTCAATTTTACAATGGAGGGACAACTATGCGGGTTGCTCTTGGCCCTGGTCATCATGTATTACATAGTTTGCACTTATCACTGTAGGCAAACGGTACAGTTTGAAACTGAGGCAAGGCTGAGGCTGGAAAATTATGTCATGATGCACTGGAGTCGCCGACAACGCATATCAAGACAGTTCAGGTGGAGGCTTGCATTAATCCTCCTGAACTGTGACATGCTCATCAGCCGAAAATATTTCCGAAGATCCATCAGGTAACGTTACGCCTGTGGTCTTTAACACAGCATGCACAGCGGAGCTGGCTACGGGAGGTGGTTTAGTCCATAACAGGCCCAATGCTTCCTACAGTTGGGTCGGATCGAGGTTGGATCGTGTTCTCACCACAAACGAACCGTACCAGAGTTTGTTTGGTACCGGACCGAGACCACCTCTTCAACAAGGTCTCAGTCCGGTTGTTTTGGTCCGCACCTGAGTGCGATTGATGTGTTCACACCTTCCCAAACGAACTGCACCAAGGGGGCAAACGCTCCAGGGTTCGATTCAACCGAACTAAACAAGGCAGGTGTGAAAACGCCCTGAGATTCATTTATTACAGTATGAGAAACAGGAGGTGCAATTTTGTGTATATGGCAGCCCTCTTTGTATACTGTTGTCACAGCTCAGAGTCACGCTGTATGTGAAACAGAATTTAGGTAAGTATACCTAAATAAGAATGCTAATAATAATAATAAGATCCCATTTATTTTAGATTAAAAATAACTTTAGCTTTATTTTATGGCTGTTATTTGGTTGATAATTATGTTTTTTGCCAATATTAGCAATCCATAAAATCCGGGTCAAAGATCATTGTCATGTTCCACAGAGTTGATCACATGACTGACTGATGGTGTCACTGTTGCGCACAGCCACACTTAGAGATCCCCATCCCAAATATTCTTATTTCATTGTCATCGACTTAATTTGTGCACCCCAACCTGATTGTTTAGAGTCCCAATACACCGCTCCCTGTACCGCTCCCTGTTCAGATATAATTAAAATATCCAATCAGAATAAATCCAGGGTAACATCATTCCTTCATATTAGTTTTATTATACTGCAGTATTTATTCAAACTGCATCATATCCATCATCTCAGAAGTGGTGTTTAATAAACTTACAATGAAAGGCCCTTATGGGCCCAATTTAACAGACTGTGACTAACATCAAACTGCCATTCGTGTGAGCTAAGTGCACAGTCATTTCCTCAACCAACTCTATTTACTGGCACTGACACAGAAATGAAAGGAGAGAAATTCCTGTGAAGGCTCAAAGAGACAGCTGATCACTGGACCTGCCAGAGGAAAGCTGCTCCAACCCAACACTGAGATCTCAATAACACAGAGAGTTCAGAATGACCCTTCATGTCTTTATTTGCCACTCCAATTTTAGGCTTTTGTACAGAAGTGCTGACAGTGAAACATATGATAAATAGTTCCTAACCATTTTCTTACTGGGACTTCTTTTGAGTTCAATTAGGCTGTGCGCACTGCAAGCATTAGTGCTCAATTCTGATTTACTGCTCAGATCTGATTATTTGTTAAATGTGGCCCATATCAGATTCCAGTGTGAACAGGTCACGGTCCTGAAGTGACCCACAAGAAGATCCTGATCTGGAGTGCCATAAAATTCACATAAAAAATGAATATACATATGAAAGTGGCCAAACATCAGATTGCATGTGGCTTGTGCTGTTCACAATGTCAAAAATCTGATCTGAGTCACATTTGAGCACAAAAATCTGATTTGGGTCACTTTGGCCTACAGTTTGAACGCAACCATTCCCATTTTGCCAGGGGACACAGAAACGCTCCTTCATGGACCATAAGGGCCTTTGTGTTCCTTGATCACATGGTTAAAGTGGTGTGGGATGGGATTAGAGATTATATTAAGTAGGGCGGTACCAAACAGTTTGAAGCTTAGAGGCTTCATTCATTCAAATCAATGTTATAATGTTATAATGTTATAATGTTATAATGTGGGGACTACAAAAACACAGAGACCAGGTTACATGACTGTCTCTGTCTCTCCTCTGCTCTCTGTCTGTGTCATGATGTATAAAGAGCTGCAGGTCTGTGCAATATGGCTCCCTCCCACAGGGTTGTGCAGAGGTGTGGCCATGTTTGTTTGTGCTTTAGAATGTTAACAACTATTAAACAATGAGAAGATAATGTTTCATTTCTCCAATTCACTGCTTTGTTCTTGCTAACGACGCTCCTGCTCTTCATTCACTCTCTAGCTCACTCAACCACCGCTGCTCTCGCATAGCAACCGATAAATCCTACTCATTCTACATTTATAGACTAACTCATTTAATCCAATGAATCACTTTATTCAGATTGAGGATTTTTTTCAAGGATTTTCTTTTTAGGCTGATGGTGTCATAAAATACGACGACAGACATTTGAAGCAGCCCTAACATTGAGGTTGACCTTGTGCAGGATGGAAGAGGAAAGGAAGGTGAGACGCCACAGCTTGGCTCTGTTACTCTAACCTGCACAATCACAGTCTCCACCATTATTAGAACAGGACTGATCTTTTCCAGATGGCAAAGGAATTCTCAGCATCTCACAAATATGAAGCTTACTGGAACTTAACACGCAAACAGCCGACTGATGATGTTGTTTCAAGGAGAGGGCTGATGACCGTGGTGAACACATAACAGACCCGATTACATCATCAACAATTTGCCCAAAGAACACAGAAAACAAACATAACAAGCACATGCTATTCTCTCTCACTCAAACTATTTTCCGCCTGTGTGAACTTACATGCTGGATATAAAAACTGTACTGTTTTTCTTACTTTATTGTTTTTGTCCTATGTGCTTTTGCTTGCTTGCTTGTATTGTTTATGTACCATTGGTTTCTTGTTTTGGCTGTGCTTTTCTATGGCTGAACAATTTAATATAAGTACACATTTTATAAACAACACTGGGATTGCCATTAAAGTTGTCATTATCACGCCAGTTTAAAGAACACTGGCTCACCGACTGTATCTGTTAATCCATGCTATTGACAGAAATAGTCAAGCGTGCCAGGGTTAATACTTCCATCTAAGTAATTCTTCTTCTATTACAAGAACTGCAGGGGGGGCAATGAAGCAACAAGCTCATCGAGATGTCTCTCGATAACTCTAATTAGCATCTGTTCTTCCCTATGCAAATTACCCTTATCATCCCTCTCCTCATCCTCTTATCATCCCTTTGTACATGACCCTCATCCTATTCTACCAGAATACTATCACCAATCTAAACAAACTGCTTTTTAAGCCAGACAAATGGCATGGTCTTTAGAGAAACAATTCTATGTAATGATAACTAGGGGCAAAGTCTTATTCCTAAGCTAGGCTAATAACATCCTTACCACTGCCAGTCTGAGAAACCTACTTTAAAACCTGCCTTCCTTGCTGAAGGAGGTCGTACTCCACCGAAATAATGATGAGATGAGATTTTAATGTGTCATAATGGCCAGAAATGTACTTTATAGGCTTTTTCCACCAGGCTTAGAACAGAGACTATTTTGAGTTCTAAAGGACATTAGAAGCACACATCAAGTACTAGAAAAGGTCAATGCACAGATAATCACACCATTAATGCCCCCCAAAAGATTCCAAAATAGCAAATGGATCAATTATTATTCCCTCAACAAACAACAGACAGCAACAACTGGTGTGCAGGAATCACTTCTGGCTGATTAATGTTTTTCAGTCCTTCCACGTCAGCAAGCCGGGAAAAACATGCAGTCGTTCAACAGGCACACAACAAAGTCCAAACAGTGCCCAGCAGAAGAAGGAGAAAGAATCTCCAAAACATACTGCTTTAGTTCCACTGAATGAAACTTAACTCTGAGAAATGCTGGTACTTCAAAGGCTGTGTATGTGCTTGTGTTGTGTGTGTATTTTCATCTGTCACAGCTCTACATGGAGATTACTGTGTTACGTGGATTACATGCCACTGCTGGGTACTCAGTGTGGTTCAGAGGGCCTCTGGGGTCAGACGGAAAGACTGACATACAAACTCAAGAGGCTCCGCTGACATGCTGCGGAGCCTCCAGAGGACCGTGCAGAGGAAGATGTTTGACGATACAATGTTGCCCTCTAGTGGCCGATATTTTAAAAATGTCACTTGCCTCAGTGCCTCCTAACACAATACCCTCATGCATTTAGAATTATCGTGCAACATGAGAGATACAAGATATGGAGAAGAGGATTAAACACAGGAGAAATCACTCCATAGGAGGATATAAGTTAATTTAACAAAAAATACTTGAAACTGATTACATTGAAAACTTTAAGTAAAACAAACATTCTTGATCAAGTCACTTAATTTTAAGTGACACTGACCTAATTTTGTAATTTGTGTGAAAACAAAAAGTACTTAATCAGGAATATTTCTCTAACTTATGACAATAAGTTAGTGTAACTTAATATTACCAGCAAAAGCTCCTTAATCAAGAATCATTTTTGTGGAACACATCAGATTAAAGAGAGGTGGAGGCCTGATGCTTCCTGTCTAAGCTGCAAGAAGAAAAAAGCATTACTCTAGATTGCAGGGATTTAAAACACATGAAAAGGAACACTGGTGTTTTGTTTTTATTTTGAGGCAGCTTGCCCTAGGAGAGAACAACACGGCCAGTGGGGCCTGTGCACTAGATCCTCTCTACCTGTTGAACATCCACGTCTTTAAAAGCCACACCTCCAGGAGCCTTTCATCCGTTCATTCTGGCTCAAATGAATACGGGCGGACATCAAATTCAAATGTCCTGATTTAAACTGTCCATCGAATTGAGCAGTTAGACCAGGAGAGATTAGCTGTATCCAGGTACTAGTAGATTAGGCACAAAGGCACAGCACTGTAGAGGGGCTGATCAGGTTCAGGGCTGACCACAGAAAGAGGTCTAATACATTTCTAGTAAATCCTTTGGACTACCAATTTATGTAGTCTTGTCTTTTCCTATTAGATTTAGCTAGGTGTACCTAATATAAGTTCACAACATATGGACAAAAGGAGAGATTTGTGTGATTTAAGCAGCTGCCTGTGGAGATTATGCCTCCCTAAACATACCAGAGAATAACAAAAAAGTAGATTCAGAGTGTAAAAAGCAGCATCCATTTTGACATAACACAGTAGTGTAAACACAGGTGTGCAATGACACTAATTAAGCTTCCATTCCATTTAGAGCCTTTCCAGCGAGCCAACATGCACAATAACAGCACCCTGAATCTCTTCGAAGGAAACCTCAATTAGTATCAACTTGAATTAGTATCACCTGTGTTTATGCTACGATTTCATGTCAAAATGGCTGCTGAGCCATCATTAACCTGTCCTTTTCCTGCCACGACGAGTCAAAATGTCTGCTGCCAAAAAGGTCGATTCCAAACACAGTCTATCATTCTGACAGATGGAAATATCACTGCTGGCACTGCAGCACAGTTAATCATGTCATCACTCACTGTTACAAAATAGCAAAATAGCTAAACAATGGTCCCAACATGCAAGCACAATGATGAAGAATCAACAGCAGCACAAGAAGAGAACAAAGTCGCTGTGGCATAAGACCTGATGGGTCCCGACACGTTCTTCTGGACGGATTCAGCGGCCCTTTTTTTTTGGGCTCTCTCCTTTCAGTGTGTTACATGTATGCATCTGCATCTACGCGCAGATGTGAAGACAGAATCATGGGGAATTGTGTATCTGGGAGGTTAGTCATATGCGTTTATAGCAAAGCAAGGAGGACAATGGAGGACAGGAGGACATCTCTTCACAGCACTCGCTAATAAACAGTGAATGATGACTGTGACTGTACACTATTCAACAGATTCAGTTTCTGTAAAGTTATTTAACATCAAAGAAAGATAGGCCATAAGTCTTTGTTTAGACTACTGATTTACTGCTGGATCACATAGCTTGGCCATATTCTCTGCTGCACGCCTATGCTTCTCTCTGCATGAATCTTTATAAGCATGACTGTCGGTGACACTGGTACTTGTGCCACCGACAGTCATGTGTTTAGCATGTTCAGAGAGAGCTTAAAGTCCGATTAGTTTTGGGGTCGGTCTTGGGTCAGACTTTGTCAGGCTGGGGTTGGGTTAGGGCTTTTGAACACCACAGGCCAGGGATGAGCTAGGGCTCACCTTTTTGTCCTGTGCAGGGCAGTACTATAGTAACTAACTGACTGAGTATGAGAACACCAATGTGACAAAGGAAAGACTTTGATATTAAAAAATAGCGAGCACAGTCTAAAAGGTAGGACTTGTGTGTCTGACAGGACAGCATATAAGGACAAGTCCAGCTCCTGTGACCTTTTACAAACCAATAAACAAAAACAGAAAAAAAGAGAAAAATGTTTAGCCGGTAGAGAATTTGTTGTGATGGTGCTTCCTCTACCTGTCATGGAGTTTTCTGAAGTGCTGAGCTGTTCCCTCAGCTTGTCCACATCGTCAGGGTGGACCTGCTCGTACAGAGTGCTGCCAAACCACTCCGACTGGGGATGGTTCAGCACCGGTGTCACAGAGTCCGACACATAGATCACCCGGCCCGTCTCGGCGGCGACCACAAACAGGAAGCCGTCTGCCGCCTCCAGGATCAGATGCTTCAGTTCCTGCAGAGAGCAGAAAGGTACACAAACACAGAGACAGGAGGAAACAGTTAAAATGTAGGAGGTGGCCTATTTATAATCAGCAGTATGCTGTAATACATTCACTAATTAGCCATAATTGCTAAGTGTAAGAGTCAGATAATGTTGAAGGACCACTAGCTTCATTACCTTCAACTCAAAACCTGAGTAAAAGAAAAGACAGATACTGAGCTTGCTGAATCATTACAAAACAGGCTGTGGATTACACACTGGCTATGGCCTTCAGTGTGTATAATCATGACAAATGAGGACTCTGATTTGTCTCAGGGTGTGTCTCAAACCACTCTCTAGATTAGTAGGTAGTGATCTACCCAGGGAGTCATTTTCCAGGTCTCCCATTGTCAAAACTGTTCCAGTTTCCTGGAAAAATGTAGTGATCAGCTTTAGTTACTTAGCTCACCGACTGCTCCAGTAAGTACAGTCCACTTTTAACATGCACTACACTGAATCTTGAAAAGGATGGAGTTACATTGAGCTTGTGGCCCTGTTACTGTTGTGCTTTTGTTGTAAAGTTCTATCAGAGGAATATACCAGCACTGCAATAACTGAACCGAAGGCAGGTCTTCTTTCTTCCTTTCAGCATTTTTTATTTTTATTTTTTAACCATCCGAGAACACCACACCATCCGTGAACAATTAACTAATGGATGTTTTTTTTTATTTATACTGTGAGGCTACTCCTCCCAAAACACATGTAGGCACATACCTCTTTTTCATTCCAATTTGGAGCCAATAAACACTTACGGCATACACATACTGAATATCTTCAGATAGATTCACTAAAAGGGATAACAGAATAATAATATAATAGTGGTAATACTGTGATATCATACTGTCACCATAAAAAAACAACAAAACAAAACAATCTGTGACATAAATACTAGGTCACCCTACTGCAGTCAGTAGAACACACCGCACCACCAACCACCACAAGTAAATTCTCCACCTGTGTGAAACACTGAAGCCTTTACCTATATTCAGGTAGGGAGTCCCAGGGTTTTGGGGGATTGATGGGAAATGTTCCTCTGGCCTCCAAACCGAGCATTTCCACAATTATTAGGACCCGAGCATTGACCGTGTGAAGGCCCTATTGTAATGGAAGGACTTATTATAATTTTTCTGCCACTTCGATCGCATATTTGGAGGCAGCAACATGCTCGAAAACTCATGAAACGCGGCGCACATGTCAGTCGTGGCGAAAAATTTCGTATTTTCTAGGGGTCCAATTCTGTCAGAATTTCCTTAGGACGATGAAGATGATTGCGTGGGACCTTGTTGCCATGGCGACATGGCAAAAATCTGCTTTTCTGTTAACATTTGAACACTTTTTGGGGGGCTAAACATCCCCGAAAACTCATGAAACTTTGCACAAAATTCAGTCGTGGCGAAGGCTGAGGTATTGTCTTGGTCCCGTAGATGGGCGCTGCAAAATGGCTTAGCCACACCCCCGAGAATCATCCCCAAAGACACGTATGACCGACATGTCGTATGAAAATTGCCATGCATGTGTATCATGATGGGACAAGCAAAAAAGCCTCTTGGACCCATAACCTGAAACCCAACAGGAAGTCGACCATTCCGTGGTCATTTCCGGCGATTTGCACACGATGTATTTGAACGAACTCCTCCTAGGGAATTTATTGGATCAACTTCAAATTTATTCAGCGCAATCTAAAGACATTCACGATTATAAGTTGTGCTATTTACGATATTCCGTCGAACGGCGTACCCGTGGCATGGGGTCCAATTTCAATGATTCGCCATGAAAAAGGATGTTCCGAACATGATCCGATCTCAATGAAACTTCAAATGTTTGCCCTGAACACGTCTACATGACAATATTCAGATATATTCATAGTGCCACCTACTGGCAACAGGAAGTAAGCGCTGCGTGGTGATTTTGATCTGATTTACGTGAAATTTTCATGTTGCGGTCTGCACGTGTTACGCAGGCACGTGACGCGGCCGCAGCACACCCCGAGTTGCGTGGAGTGCGAGGGCCCGTTCATCGCTGCTTGCAGCTTTAATTTTCTTTGATATTAAAGCAAATCTCTTTGCCACTGTGAGTCAGTGGGCTAAAAACAAGAAAAGGTGCAACGATGAAGGATATGTTTTCTATTCTTATGTCCTCTATGATAGAGCTCTGGCTCTCTGACAGTACAGTACCTGCTCAGTGAGAAAGGAGGGCTTGTAGGCCCCATCAGTGGACGTGTTGCCAGTGCCTCTCATGGACTTCATATGGGAGACAGCCATACGCAGGATGGTCAGCTTATCAGGTTTTCGGGCCAGGGCGCTGCAGGTAGGGACCATGTCTGACAGCTCGGTGATGTATTGGGTCATTTTGTTGCGCCGGCGTCGCTCAATCTCACTGTGGTTCTCTCTAAAATAGAGGAAAGAGCAGTGAGACGCTAGGAGACGGTACTGACTGGAAACCACTAGCCAGCCTGGCTTGAACAAATGATCAACAGCTGTGATGCTTCCTCTCTCCTGTCTTCTGACTATGCTTCACCACAGGATCTGTTACACTGCAACTTATGATCAGTTTGAGTCGAAATTAAAATGCTGGAGGAATTATTTTACCAATACATCTCCTTAGAAGTGACAGAATATTGTAATATTGCTGTGTTAGCAGCTCCATCAGGGATTCAGCAGGTTTAATAGACCGACACATGCAGCAAAACAATGATAGCACAATATTTTCACATCAGTCAATACATATAACAAAACTGAGTGCAACCCTGTCCGATGTCACTAAAATGTTAATTAAATCCTGTCCTTTTAATATCATTTAGTTTTTCAGCCAGAACCAAAGAATGATTTAAAATTGAGAAATGTCTCACTAATTAAACTACAATTAAAGCTCCATATTTAAGAACCATCTGCAACAAAAGCCAGAACACCCTTGATTAGTGACATTCCATTATTTTATCGTTTTAACATTTTGTTTAACCGTATCTATTGTTGATGACAGATCCATCCTCCTGGGCAGGGCTGATACCAGTCTTGCACATATCTGTAGAGAGAAGTTCAGCCATTCTTCTCAGATGATTCTTTCCAGCTGCTCTTTGCTGCCGTTGTTTTCTTATTGTACCTTCTGCTTTAAAATACCCAAAAGGTGTTCTATCGGATTCAAATCAGGGGACATGCTTGGCCAGGTCATAGTTCCCTCTTTCAAAACTCTTGTCATGCTGGAAAATCCTTGTCCTGAGACTTGGAGTCACCTTTTCATTTATTCCATTATTTGGGTATATCTATAAATGTCACCTCCCCTTCCTTTTTTTAAACTGCAGCCCTAATATCAGCAAACTCCCATCTCCATGTTTTACAGTCGGCACAATGCAGTTAGTCCTGGCCAAGTCCATGCCAAACATGCTGGTCCAAACAAATTTATTTTGGTTTCCAAAAAACCAAAGAATGTGCTGCCAACATTCATCAGGCTTCTTTTTGTGTTCTGTTTCCAAGTTTAATTTTGCAGTTTTGTGCCGACATGCGAGCAACGGATTTCTTCTTGGACACTGTCCCTTGATGTTTTCTTGCCCGAGCATTCCCTGTAACAGCATTTCGGCTCATGTTCAGTAGCCCACTGATGCTCTTGTACCCTCTCCCATCTTCATGGAGCCTCACAATCTGGTTTCTTAATCGTTCCTTACCATGTGGAGACATGTTGCATTAGACACAACACACAGGCCAAAATTGAAAAAGCTTTGGTGGAAGCTGTGGGAGTTATTTTATAACCTTGCTCATGGAATCTTTCTCAACTGCAAATGGAAGGTGTACTAACTTTTGTTGCTTTGAGTTTGTGATGTGCAGTCTGTATTTTTTTTAAACCTGTTTTTAATTGTACATAAGATCAAATACCTTAAATTTCAACTTAAAAAGAATACAATTATTGTAAGATGACACACGTTTTAATCATTTAACGTTTTACTGATATTGCACAGTGCTATACTCAGTTTTGTCATACTGTGTAACAAGTTAATATTTATCTTGAACTTTAAGCTTCCCTTAAGCTTACAGTTCTCTGGTAGTAGACTCAGTACCTGAAAATGACCAAGAATTGTTTGAGCTGTAAAGACAGAATCTATTTACATAAATTAATTATACAAAAATGAAACTCTGCAATGTGACATGCTTGCAGCCAGGCGGCTTATATCTTGGGTCAATGATGTTCATGTTTTACCATTTAAAAAGAGAAATGGCGACATCTAATGTGTTTATTTACTTGTTCATTTATTGCCCATAGGGTACAATCCTGCTGGTAATGTTGCAGTTTGTTGCTGGGGTGTTTGTCTGTGTGTAACACTGTTCCAGGGGATGTGTCTAATTGCTGCTGTTTGGCACTGTGAGTGTTTATACTCTGGATGTTGATGCTTCAGGTTTTTTATTGACACATTTTTTTGGCAGAATTAACAATATACATCATCATTCTGTCTTTTTGGAACTGAATCACTCATTTGAGTCTAAAAGAGGCTTTAAGTGGCCAAAGTAACACCATGCAACACAGGTCCTTGTTCCCTCGTTTATCCAATACAGCCCTGTACGTCGTCATCTGGCATCTGATACAAACATCATCTGGTGAGTTAAGCTAACTCAACCAACCCTGCTGTGCTTATTTTGGAAAGTGGGCCGTTCCTAAAAGACTACCATAAGATTGGTAAGGAAGAGATTAGTTTTTGGTTGGTGTAATTTGCTGTATGTACAAGGTCACACAATTTACCATTTTATCTCAGCTTTTCTAGCGCCCAATCCTACTTGTAATCACCTTTCACCAAGTATTTCAACTGGTAAAAGTAGTAAGAGCTATAAGCTTTAAAATATAACCCCCATGAGGGAAATCAAGTCATTTTGAGACGAAAAAAAAAAATGTTGTGACAAGGAAGGAGATGTAGTCACTTTTTGGCAAGTGGAAAGCTGCGTTTAGTGGGTTGTATGGGCTCTTTAAAGGCATTTCAAGTGGTACAAAAAAAGATTGGGTGAGCTATAATCTTTCAAATCCTCCTATGAGTGAAATCAAGTCATTTTGGCACAGAAAAACACTTAAAGTGATCTGTACATGTGTTAAATGAACTCCCTCGCCACAGTGGAATGAATGGTTTCTGTGGCCAGACATCTGATATAAAGCATACTGACAAAATAAATAAATAAATAAATAGTGGTTTGAAAAACTTTCAATATATTTAATAATCAACACTAACAGGCCAATAAATAAGTTGTAATATACCAATGCTAATCTAATATATTGGCATATTAACCCTATCCTGATTTGCTTTTGTTAGTATTTCAGTTTATTGGGATCAGAACATGGGTAAAGTGGGCAGGTTGTACAGTCTGTTGATCCCTGAGTCAACGGAAAATCCTCTGCGGCCCCAGCTGGCTAGGCCTACCTTGCGTATCTCTCCTTATCTCCACCAGGAATCTGATCATCATCATACCTACAGAGAAGAGAGGACGCAGCATGTAACACAACGTACACATATGCAGGTGGATGGTATCACATAGCAGCTTCACTATTCACATTCCTCACATGCAATGGTTGTCACATATTAATGTACAGAGCAGATGGTTCAAGTTTTATAGTAACAACATGGGTAAAACTGGACAAAACAGGGTGCAAATGGCTGGTGCAGTGATAAAGGTTTCCTGTTCTACTCTGAGTAAGGAAAGCTAAACCCTATGATTTCTTACATTCTGGGTTTTATTTTGAGATTTGTGGTAATTCATATATTTTATCTTAACTAACAAATGAATGGACTCTAACAACAGTAAAGTGAATAAGGTAATATGACAAGAGCATAATTGACATATAGGGAAATAAGTGAAATAAGTTAACCCGAGTTAAACAAACTAGGTTTACTTACAACCTCTCTAATTGTTTGAGCACTCATGTTGTTGCCCTACTGTACTATGGAAGCCAATAACAGCAATTGAAATCTGAGTCTCATGAGCAACTGAATACCTGATTGCAAAACGTAATCACTAATGAATATTTAATGTTGAAATGTACATACCACACTGAATTTACAGCATACATATATATATATAGCAATATTTGAATCTGAAAACCATATTTCCTACATCTATTACCTACAGAAAATGTCAAAGACACGGATTCAAACTATAAATTCAGAAGGATGGTTATCAAAGTCAAATATTTCAGTGCTATCAAATTTCAACATTTTACCACTACAAGTATTCAGCAGTGGTTAAATGTCACAATTAAGTATTCAGTTTATTTGATAGATCAAACTAGTATATCTATTATTTGTTTCCATATCAGAACCAGTGTCAGCTAGGGATGGTGCACCGGTAGAAAAGTTCAAGATGTGATTAGTGTGTATCAGATACAATTTGGGATGACACATCAGTAAAATCCTATTTATTTGTATATAATTATTAGTAGAAGCCCTATGCCTTCATCATTTAGAAATGTGACCAATCATTTTATATTTAGATTGAGTCCTCCTCTCTAAACTGTTTCTCAAGCTGCTTAAGAAGAACCTAAGAAATACAATCAAACTATTTGTACCATTATGTATTGCATAGCATCATATTCTTTGGATCGTATCGTGTTGAATAAAATCATGTCGAATAAGGGTGAATTGTATTGTATCTTTAATGTATGGGATCGTAGCAATGCATTGAGATGCATATCACATCTGCCTCAGTGATGGAAATACACATCCCTAGTTATAGCAGAACTGCTGCATATGCACCTCTCTCTCTCTCTCTCTCTCTCTCACCCACCCCAACTGGTCGAGACAGACGACCACCCACCTAGAGCCGGAGGATCTGTCCTAGGTTTCTGCCTTTTAACAGGCAGTTTTTCCTTGCCCTTGTCGCCAAGTGCTTGCTCATGGTGGTACTGTTGGGTCTCTGTAATTAATGTTAAAGAGTTCGGTCTAGACCTGCTCTATTTGAAAAGTGTCCTGAGATAACTTCTGTTATGAATTGGCGCCATACAAATAAAATTGAATTGAATTGAATTGAATTGAATTGAATTATAAATGTAGCCAATAATAAAAGTATCCATAACTAACCCTGAAAAGACCCAGACTGACTGTTCTTTCACCTGTCCATTACAGTACAGGGACACTAGTTGGAAAATGATAGAGTCACTCCTAACTTAAAAACAGTGCAGAGTAAGAAAAGGCAAATATCACTAAATTTAGAAATTGTAGCATGAAATGTAATCTATGCTAAGTGCACCACAACCCCTCCCCCCAATCCCCAAAAACACTGTGGTTTGGGTCAGCTATTGCAGCTGTGTGTCACATACTGAAAGGCAGGGCAAATTAAAGCTCCTGGCTATGGGAAACAGCAGTGAACTATCTATTTTATGGGAATAGCATGTATATAAAGTGTATGCACAGTGGCAAACCCTTTCACAGTATGAATGTGAAGCTTTCCTGCAGCCAGATAAATCATACATGTAATGCTACTGTCCATTATTAAGAGTGCAGTTCCTCCTGTGATCAGCAGAGAGCAGCTCCTCCTCCCCACTGTCACTACAGCAACAAATCCACTGTTGTCAGCTCAGAAATAAAGCACTCACTGTACGTCCTACAGACTTACACACTACACAATGTGAGAAGAAAGAAAAGGAAAACAAGTTGAGAAAAAATTAAATATGAGAGGACGGTTGAGATGCAGTGACAGAGAAGGACTTTAGTCCCTCTTTTAAAAAAAATGAATACATAACAGATAACAGACATTTTTTAATGGAGGGAAATCAAAAGTAAGTAATGAGGTGTCCATGCAGCAGTCAATGTTACAAACATAGGGTATCTGCAGGGTTCGCAAAGACAAATCTGGACTTTTTAAGACCTTTTTCATGCTATGTCACAGTTTGGTAAGGTGTATGCATACTGTATTATTAACCCATTTTTTAATTCAAAGAGTGCAGTGAATGTCCATTTCACTATCTTTAATTTATCGTACCTGCAGATACCCTGAATCAGGAACTGTGGGACTTTGTGAACTAGTTCTAAAACATTTCAGACAGCACCGGTGCAATCTGCTTTCAGTGGTCTCACCTTGAAAATTTGCTAGGTCCCTCTCCGTCTTCGTCATCAAAGTCCATTCTGAGGAACAACCACAGGAAACACAGTTACAATTTCTAGTAGACTGAGAGCTGACGGCTCTCTTGTGACTAATTTCCACATTATATCCACAGTGATAACTTTAGACAGCGGCAGACGGCAGACATCAGTTTAGATGTTTAGACTTCCTCATTTGGTTCTGCTGCTGCAAAGTGACGAAGTTGTGTCTGCTGACACATAGACCGATACATTATTGTGTTTATCTGGCCGACAGTGGGTCGCTCCTCATTACAGCACGGATACCTCCATCTTAGCTTAGATATTGCAGATACGTCCAAATACATGTAGTAAGCGGAAATGTATGAAAATGTATGAAAACGTATATACATGAAAACAGTCATTATTACTCCAGTCTAACTTATAGTTTAACTCCAGCATGTTCTATCCAGGCTCCGCCCTACACCTAGTTCTGGGTGATACACCGGTTGAACTGGTATAACGGTTTTTATTTTCCTGAAACAACTGCTGCAACTTATTTATTTCTTGTGCAACATTTTGATTCTTTCATATATTGTATCATTTTGAGGGGGAACCCTATGGTAATCACAGCCTTCAGTATATACATATATACAGTAGAATAAGCCACTATAAACCTACATAAAGGAACTGTCATACAAAAACTAAATACTGTGATATACAGTGAAACTACAATCTTGAAAAATACCTTAACACAAATTTCACCTGAACTAGAGGGCAACGCCGAACAACATCGGGACCTGATTCATATATGAGTTCATATGAGAGAGTTATGCACCCTGATATGCACTCTGTAGGGGTTGGTGAGGCAGGGATGCAAAACTAAGAGTTTGCTACCAGCCGAGGACAACAGTCTCCGCTCAAGATGACTGGGATCAGGTTCTGACCTGTCTTGAGGGGGGGGGGAAAGCAGCATTCGAATACTGATTTGCATGTCAGTTACCATGGCAATGGTTAAAGCTTTGAAGCATTTGGGTCAGCCCTAGAAATCAGCTATCTGTGACAAGAGTTAGCCATGGTGTCATGATGATGGGTTAAAAAGCTAACATCAGTGCATCTGAGAAAAACAACTGAGTAACAGACATGCAATAGACAGGAAGGTAAATCTGACCAGGAAGGAACTGTGTGGCTTTAAAGTATTTTGAGAGTCTTGTAGAAGAACATTATTAATACATGCAAACACTGTACAAAAAGCATCGCAGTATGGGAACTGCATGGTGGGCCGCGACATTTTACAAACACGGCCTTGTAAAATAAACTGCAAACCTGACTGTAATGGAAACAGAAAGGGCGATGGAAATGGAAGGCAGAGCTGCGTGACATGGAGCGGCGCGATGCACGCCCTGTTTGTGCCTCTGCATACATTGTCCTCAAGTAGACAGAGGATTATTAACATGGAAATGTTCAGAGAAACCATCAAGCTGGATTACTATTATAGAGCCACTTGTTGAGAGGTTCAGAGGTTTAAATGGGGAAATTCACTGGCGGGCTACCATGACTCATCCTCATCTTGTTTAGCTTTTTAACTCCAAAAATATTCTTAACAAGTCTGCCACATTATACGCATACAGCAGTCATCACAACTGTTCCAGCTAAAACAACTGACTGCATCAACGAGCCGTAAGTCAGGAAGGCCTGAATGGTCACAGTTGTTCATAGCTTGGCTCAGTGCTACAGGTGGGAAAATAGAAAAGATTCTCTCTCTCAGTAGGAATAATTCTATATCACAATGTCAACATATATTATGACATAATGCACGGTGTGGAAAATCAATTGAGACACCATTAGTGGATAAAATGAGCACATACTAGGAGTGTCCAAGCCAATCCAACATGACAATAAACCAGCAATGTTGCCCACCGTGGTCCAACACACCCACAGATATTGTACCATGATACAAACAGAATGGTGAAAGACCAATTCAAATTTCACCAAATGAACAAATTATACTGCTAGCTAACTTGACTAAATCTCTCTTTGTTTATTGAGTGCAAATAGATCAATTTTAGCAGAAAACAATCCCATGTAAAACACTGACAGTCCCTCTCTTCTTGCAGCTACACTGGGAACAGATGAGGCCTCGGTTCTATACACGCAGCACATCAATAATCCGATTGCTCCCCTACCCTTGACCTTATTGTTGCAAGGATGGCTCACAGTGCAGAGAGGACAGACAGAGAGACGGAGCAGAGCTTTACGTCCAAACACCAATGTGTCTGAATTTCACAAGTATGATGTCTGAACATAACAAATGTTCAACAGTGGAAACTAGCGACTTCTAGAGACTACCTTGTGCTAGTTTCAGTTGGATAGTGGATGGAGTAACTTTATCGTTTATCATTCACTCAGCTGTTTCTTTGCCTGTTTACAGTCTTTAGTCATGCGCACACAGGGCCTAACAAGAAGGATTGCCGATTGCCTGCTGAAAGTAAAATGCCATTTGCTGGCGGCAAACCTAGCAACTCAACTCAACTCACCCCCATTGGTAAAAAATAATTCAACACATCGTTTTCTCCGGAACTGACTGTAGACTTGACTAAGGAGGGTTCAGAGTTGCACATGCTCAGTGCAGATGTGGAATAGCGGCGGATTAATAATAAATAAATACATGTTATAGAATTTTAAAGATTATGAGCTGAAGGCCAAGCAAGCAGTCAACTACACTGGAAACAGGAGTTTAGTTGGGTGGCGTTAGAGGACATGGGTGAAACTCCAACTCTTTGTTGCAGTTTGCTGCAATTTTTGAGAGCAAGGCGAATAAAACAGTTGTTTTTCAAAGCCATTCAAGTTCCTGAAAACTAGCCTGTTATTTGATAACTAACACTAGCCAGAAATCTAGCTGGGAAAATCAGGTTTCCTTAATCCCCTACCCAGATGAAGAAAACCAGGTTTATTTTTGCATTCAATTTCAGAAATCACCTTCTTGGAGAGCGCCGACTCTAACCTGGATGTTTACATCTATGTAAATGCCTTGTACGGTGTGTTGACTAAAGCCCCCTCCCCCACACCTAAGCTGCTCTCACTACTCAGTTTGTATGCATGATCTAACTGACGGCTTCATGCACCATGGGAGCTGTGTGTCTGTTGTTGTCTTAGGATCCTCAACTCAACTACAACCTGCCTCATCTCACACACACACACACACACACACACACACACACACACACACACACACACACACACACACACATTTGCCTAGATCCAGGTCTGTATTATTTATTCATGTTTATGTAGGCATAATGCATGTGCATTGGTTAAATGCATTGCTTTGGCCCCTGAGGATTATATTTACAAGGTACTGAACTCATGTACAATGCCCCCCCATACACACAAAATGCTAGACTTAAGCAGCCCCCATGTTTATCAAACCCATTCCTTTATTGCAAAACTAAAGCAGAATCTAAAAATTGCATGTCAAATGGGGTTCCATTCATAACAAACATTTTCTAAAAGCTCTCCACCACACTGCTTTTTGTTTTTTCTTTTTCCAATGACAGACAAAAGAGTGGATGAAGAGGACAATCTTTAAACATCCCCACTGAGTTTAACACTTGAAAAAGACACAGACCGTCCTGTTGCTAGGTGTCAGAAAACAATACTGTCACAATTAGCGCTTCAACCATTGGCATTAAATTCAAGTTTGTATTATGTACACAACAATTCCAGTGAAGCAGTCATTGGCAATAAAGTTTTTAGATCTCAGGCTCTCTCCAACTGTGCTCTTACAGATACGTAAAAATTAGTGCTGTCAAACAATTAAAATATTTAATTGTGATTAATCGCATTAATGTCATAGTTAACTCGCAATTAATCGCACATTTTTATCTATTCTAAATGACCCTTGATTTTTTTTGTCCCATTATTTTTTCTCATTTTAATGCTCTTATCAACATGGAAAAGTGGATCGGCTTGCTTTGAGCAAATGTTGTTTTTATTGAAAATCATCCATTGTCGCCTGGCTTTGACGAGGGGGCGGATAATTCGCATCAGCTGTGTGTTTGGCCATCAAGTGGTATTTCAGACTGGACGTGCTGCGATGATAGCTCAGTTCACAACGACAAAACACACAGATCACTTTGGTCTTGTCCATGGAACCATTTGGCAACTTTTTAAAAGTAAACTTTCCATTCAGAATATTATATATAATATTATATATATATTATACATTTCGGCGTCTCGTGCTCGCCATCCACTCAAAACGTAACGTCTACTACTCTTAAATAAGTGCGTGCGGTGTGCCTGTTGTTTTGTTTCCAGTCTTGCTAGATCCGATGTGGTGTTGTAGTTATGTGAAAAAAACTACAAAGTGTGCTAAGCCAAAAAAAACATTAATCTCGCGATAAAAAAATGACGCCGTTAAAATGGGTTTGCGTTAGCGCCGTTAATAACACGTTTAACCGACAGCACTAGTTAAAATTTATATATATGTAGAAATAAAAATCACTTATGTGGAACAAAAACTGATTAGAATCTATGACATAAAATACTGCAGCAACAATATAGGAATAAAACATTCTTTAATGAATTGGACAATGATTTTTTGCACTGGCGCATTAATCCACATGTTCTGTGATTGTTTAAAACTCAATGTGGACTGGCAAGTATCACAGCCCCGCCCGGTGCCTGCATTTTTTGGCACCATCACAAAGTGCCCTGTCAGTAGGATAGACAGACAGACTTAATGCAGCACCTGAATCTTTTTAAGTTTACGCAACATCAGCTTGGGTTAGGTTTAATAACATGCAGACAGTGGAAAAAAAAGAAGTTAATACACCAGTGAATTGTGTAGTGCAGTGTTAAGGTCCCTTTCCTAGTGGAAATAAACTACAAAAGTTCAGGAACTTCAAGAGTTCCTATTCTGCTTTGTAATTACAAACAGGTCAATTTGGAGAAAAGTGGAAAACTTTGTTGTATCTCTGTTTCAAGATTTGAATTGTCTCCCATTACTCTTTGGTGTCTGCTTAGTTCTGCAAAATGTAAAAAAAAAACTACATAGAAGGACTTTTCACTGTAAATCAGAAACATAGTTTCCAAATATGAGGCCCATACTGCATAATCCATGATTCAGAATGTGCACTAATAAGACAGACATTAGGTTGATTGATGTAGGAATCCCTCATAACAGCATACAAGATATGCTGTAAGATTTATGATGGTCTGAACAGCTTGACACTATGTGAAAAAATTAGGTGTAGGTGTGTGTGTGGACAATTTCCACAGCAGGTCAGCAATGATGCTGAGTCAAGGTCAGCGATGAAGATACTTACCCTCCTGATCTCCTCTTGCCCCCGCGGCCTGGCACAGCTCCTCCCATTCTCACCTGGCCCGCCCCAACTGCTCCCGGCATCGCTACTGTCCCCGGCAACTCGCTGCCCATCTCTGGAAGATACAACAGCAACAGGAGACCAGCATAGGGTTAGCAGGAGTATCTGTCACATAGGACTACCATTAAACATGCAGTGTTTCCCATATCGATAAATATTATAAATATTTTCATTGTATTGTTTTCAGCAGCTCTTCTGAAGCATGTTTCATCTGACAAATATTGAAACTGATGTAAAAGATATAAGTGGAAGCCCTGCTGATGTATCTGTACACCACCACTGCCAATCAATGAAAATTAGATTTATATATATTATGATTTACATTTCTCATGTCTTAAAGGTTCCCTGTGGAGTTTCATATTCCTGCAGATGGTTTAAAGTCACAAAAATGTAGAAATGTGCCAAACAATGCAGAGAAGAAGACAAAAAAAATGTAAACAATGTTTGAAACTATAAAAAATTCATCAGCTCCAAATACCAATCCAATCAACCAATCCACTTGGGACAAAAGTACATTCCCAACAAGCAAATGTACAGATCACGGCTGCAACCAACCACTCTGTTCATTATAGCTCAAAGACGGTGTAAGTGATTCTGGAGAAATCCAGTACCATGTCAAATACCATAATAGAGAGTGAGCAACAACACAGCAAGTAATCTAACTAACTGTAGCTACGTTTTGGGTTAGCAAACTGTCACTATTGTGGCTGCTGTTATTTCCCAGAGCCGGCACGCCAGCTCCAGACTGCGAAACTCACAACTCTCCTGCTGCTATACCTAACATCACAACAGCAGCATATCTTGGCAAACTGTGGGCAAGTCATTAACGTTACCAAACACAATAACAAGTTAGTGTTGTGTGGCTCGGTCCGATCCACTCTGTTTGTTTCCAGTTTACAGAGCCAGGGTTGCACACAAAGAGCAGAAAGCTAGCAGACCGTGAGGAGATGTTCACTGTATTTGTAAAAAAGTCTGTTGGATTAGAATTACATTACCTGGAATCGCTTACCCCACCTTTAATCTATTGAATATTTTGTGGATTAATCAATATGTCCACAAAATGAATTAGAGAATAGTGGAAATATTGACAATATGAGAGCTTGGCTCATTTTGCCCAAATATATTCAACTCAACTTACTTAATTACAAAGCTGTGAGGCTAGAACCAGCAAATTCTGACATTTCTGCTTGAAACATGACTTATAATGAATGATTTGTCAATCACACCTTAAATTACAGAATAATTGGGTTAAATTTACTGGGACAAGCCGCTGGTTCTGAAAGTCTATTTTAGTCTTGTCAGCACCATATTCCATAAGAGGACTGGGATCTGTAGAGCCATCAATCTACACAGACCTACATGGTGTAGCCTGGGGCTCTTGTTAGCAGCCTGGATACCAGATTCTATCTGACAATGATTTAGAAATAAATAGATATTCCTGCACAGGCCCTTGAGAAAGCTTTTATTCAGTAATGAAGCCAGTAAAATACATGCTTGCTGTTCCATTCAACATGAAGCCACTGTGCTGTGTGTCATTATGGCTGAGAGGAATTATGCTACGTGCCACTTCAACCTCCATCTTCCTCTCATATTTACCTCTCTTTCTCTCTCACTACCACGCCACTACTTTGCTCCTCGCTCATCCACGAATCCATTCTGTTTGCCTTGCTGTCTTCCTCTCCATCTCTCCGCTCTATTCACTCACTCACTCATTCAGCTAGATGCAATGGATAGGCCAAACAAACCCTCCGGTATGCCCCAGTGCACCAAGTAACATAGTTAATATTTGATACAGTGTGCATTCCCCCGGCCATCTCCGCTTCCAGAGAAACACACATACTCAATCAAGGAGCAGTCTTCCATCATTCATTCATGAAGTGTTTATGAGTAACACAGGGCTCTAAACTAGCTTCATCTGATTAAGAGACAGCTTCATCTGACAATCAGAGTGGTCATTGAGCCCAGCAGGAACAGCACACACTGCTGCCTCTGTCCTAACAGTCTAAACAGGCACTCTATTACACAACTAATGTACAGCCAATGGTGCTCTTCACCATTCAGTGTTACACCTGGGCCATAAAGTAATACATTGGCTTTTTCAGAAAGTCCTACATTTCCTGATAAATTCTGAGAACACAAAATGATCCAAAAGTGCAATTTCCTGCATATCCTGTGTAGATACAGAGAGATGACTTTTAGAAGATTTGCAGACAGTGTGTGAGAGCAGCCTGCAGTCTGTGTCACTGTGCTGAACCTGTTATTTCTCAGAGAGAAGGACCTTCCTCTGTTTGGGGTGTTTTATCAAAGTGGTGCTGATGTTGCAACAATGTTACAAATCTACAGCACATTGATTGTGTCAAGGCTACAGTGTCTGTAAAAAAAAAATTTCAACAAATGTTAATATTGGCAGGTCTATGCTGCCCAGTGCTGAACAACAATGGATCGCACTATGTCTCTGCACTTTGTTGTCTGTGCTGTGATTGAATTTTAATGTGGCATGGAAAATTGATGCTTGAATGAAGAACAATGCATTTAGTTATTTAACTCTTACTATATTATGCCATAGAGCAGTTGTTTGGGTCAGGGTTAAGCACGCACCATCTTTGAAACCATTAGAAACATGATGTGTTTGATTTCAGTCTGATCTCACAACTTTCTGACCCAAACAGCTGATCTCATCACAAATATTCTTAATAGCATATACATACATATATATGTGTCTAAAACATGTTTTTCTGCAGACCCTGTCCTGTGCTGCTCCACATCTTTGCAATAACCCCTGTCTGATTCTCCAAGCTGGGGGGCCTGCTCACTGCCATCTACTGTAGGAAATAAACTGACTATAGATAAGCCCCTCATACAACCCCACTTCAAAAAAACTAAAGAGAACTATTACTACCTTTAACATATTTTCCACCTAAACCTGCAATAATTGATTTTTTTGGCCACTGGGATACAGCGTGAACGAGTTGTGAACATTTAAGTTGATTGCTTACATGTCCAGCAGCTACGGAGCGACTGCATTATCATTCACTGGGGGTCGTGTTTCTGGCTACCTGCTGTATTTAAAGTGTAACTAACCTAAATTCTGCTAACTCTCTCCCTCCCAGCAAATCTTAGAAATGAAGCAGAGAGAATCATATAGGACAGTGTGTGAGGCAGGAGGTAACGCCGTCTAAAGTGACAGACCGCTCAGTAGCAGGAATAGAGCTGGTCAGCGCTAACTGAGCTAACCAGCCATGAACAGCTGCGGTCAGACTCTCTGTGTCCGTGATGGAAGCACAGAGTCAGAGGGGTTGGCTGGTGACCAAAGTCGCAGCCTCATATGTCACCTGCCTCTAGGTCCAATACTTAATTCAACTGCAATAGCAGGGTTTCAACCAGTGGAGGGGGGTTGCTCTACATATTTATAGCACTAAAATGTCCAGACTTGAACCTGAATCAACTAGCAACACTACTAAATACCCATATACAGAGGTTTCAGCCGAAATAAAGTGGTTTGGGGGTTTAGTTACTCTTTAAGTCTAACATGCTGCTCTGATTAATTACTGCAATGGAAACAAACAATGTGATGACCGATTAATTGTCACCTGCACCGAGCACCGCGGCCAATATAGTTACTTGATGACAGAGTTTGTTGTGTAGGACCTCTGTTCTTTCTCTCTATAAAGGGTTGACATTATCCAACCACTTCCACAGAACTCCAGTTATTCCATTTTTTGCAACTGACTCCTCCACAGCAGAGCCAGCAGCCCGTAGATTCCCTTATAGCCATTTGTTACTGTTGTATGTAGCCATGGTGTACTAGTACTGTTGAGTTCAAACTCAACAGTCAAGAAAGCAGCTGGAGGAAACTACGCTAAGTTTCACTTTCAGTTTCCGGCGGAGTGATTAAACCGGCACACTGCTGACGGAAAAAGAAAAAATAACGACAAAACGTCATTCATTAATTACAACCACCTGTGGGAAAAAGTTGGCGTCTTGGCCAAACAAAGGGAAGGCAGCAGGTCAGACGTGAGATTCAAGAACTCAGCTCAAGGATCAACCAAAGGATGCCACTGGTGAGAATGAATGAATGAATGAATGAATGAATATGATTATTTAATATTGAATACTAGATTTTGATGTGATCATTTTGAGTTTATTAATGTAATGTTAAGAACAATTTGAAATGTTTAGTCAAATCATCAGCCTAATTTGCTTAATTTATGGTTTACTTTGTTACTTCATTAACTCCTGTGAATGATAACTTGAGTCTAGTTAAGAAGAGTTAAATTAGTAGAAAATTTTAAATGTGTCATTTATTTAAATAAGTGATTTTGTTTAAATGAGAGAATTAAGAAAAGTATAAATCAGAATTAAATCTTTAATTTATTAAAAGAAGTGATTTTGTTGCATAATTGCATTATATGGGAAATAATTGCATCTTTTGTACATTTTTGTTTCTTTTAAGGTTATTAACCTATCTATCTAAATCTATCTACCAGAGATATATTGCAACATTAAACAAATGTTTGGCCGAAGACTGAAAATAAAAACAGACAAGAAGATTGAGTTGTCCCTCTGCGTCTTTTAGGAGTGATCCAGGCCATTTTCAAGTTTGGGCAGCAGCTGAGGCAAAACCTAGGGAGAACTTGACAAGTACTATTAAGTGATGACAATTTTTCTTCATCATGTTTTATACCGGTATTATGATGAATGATAAAAAAGGGCACATCTTTACTACTGTATCACAACAGTAGACTCGTGTCACTGTAAAGCTGAAGTGGTAGCATGGAGCAGCAGGGCCAACAGTCTTCCAGCGTGCTATTACTGGGGCTGACGATCTCTACATTCCTTTAAAGGCATGGCGAGTGTTTCAGGATTTCTTTAGTGCAGCTACGGACGATCAGAAGCCTGCTTTTAACTCAGTCACATATGCATCTTCAGACAGCCAGAGCTAAAAAGCCCCGAGGTCAAACGCATTAATGAGACTGTTGGGAGACCGGGGGGAACGTTGCATACTTTCTCCTTTTCAATCACTGCTCTCCCTCAGACAAGGTTGTTTCTATTCTC